TTACAAAACATAAAAATTCCACACACGCACACATGTCCGAGTAGATACACACGCCACACACACTTGAAAAATTCCTAAATAAGGTAAAACGCACGCACACACCCAAACACATAAACTTACGCATAAACACAGACAGACATCACACAGACATGGGCATCACACAGACAGACCCACATGAACACAAACCTAAACACACACACAAACACACACACAGACACACAAACACAGACATACAAACAAAGACACACAAACACAGACATACAAAGACACTCATATATGTATCTATAACCAAACACAAACTCACCCAGACATACAAATACACATACATGAACACGCGCGCACATATATACACATACACACAAAAACACACACAAACACGGACACAAACACACACACACACACACACGTACATTAGTTGTGCAATGAATCGCAACCTACTTAGCGTACACTTTTGACCCCTGGTCACAACATGACAAGTGTTTGTTTATAAGTCGGGTCCCTCTCTTGTCTTGCCTGTGTGCGCATGTGTGTATGTGCATGTGTGTGTGTACATGTGTGTGTATCTATCTGTGTTGTTGTATATATCTTTGTACGTGTTTGTGTATATCTACATTTTTCCTCCAATCAGCATGTGTGAAAGATTTTCAAGTTTAAGTTTATTTACTTGTGCGTACGTTACGAATGTAGGTAATGTAGGTGTGTGCGTGTGTGTGTGTGTGTGTGTCGGTATGTGAGTGTGCGATCATTTGTAACTGTACGTGTGAAAAAGAAGAAATGAGGTTAGGGCAAATGCGTTTTCTAACGGCTGTATTTTTGTTAATCCGTGTCACGTGGTCCCACTTCGTTTTAATTGCCTGAATTCATGGACGCTGTGTTGTTGTTGCTGTCGTTGTTGTTGTGTTGTCGTAATGTTAATTTTTTTTTAGTTTTCGCGTGCTTTTGGTATTTTGTTGTTGTTGGATAGGTTGAACGCAAAACACAATTCTGCTGTTTAAGTGAAATTATTTTGAACCTGAAGTGAGAATTGAAAAACCTAGAGTTGTAGTTTCAAAGTTTCAAGCTGGGAAACCCGGAACGGGACTCATTCGATGGGATTCCGGAAATATGATTTTAAATACGAGATTCTTTAAATGGAATTTTTTAAGCAAAATTCTTCAAATTTGATTTTAAAAATGTGATAATGGAACTTGTAGATTGGAATTCCTGAGATGAAATTTTCAAGAAGAATTTCACAAAATTAGATTTCTTCTGAAGATGAGGTTCTAAGCGTCCATAGCCCAAACTTACACGGTAAATAATACACATACATGGAAACAGTTCTCACTTTGTACAGCTTGTTTGTACACGCATTTGTGTACAAATACAAACACTACAACCTACAAATACACACGTTACGAGCAACTGTTATGTTTGTTTGTTTTCTTGACACTTGAGTTGAAAGTTGGAATCCAATTTGAATGGAAATAACGAGTTTGTCATCGTCTGAATTTGTCTTGAATGGCACGTAATTAAAGCGGAAAAAATGAATTTTGTTGATTAAATAAAAAATGAAAATAAAATAATTTTTAAAAAGTTTTTAGTATAAAATAATTTTAATTAAAAAGGGAGTATTTTAAGATAAACTCGTAGAAACCAGCCATCACCGTCATCAGCGTCTCCAAATCAGACCAAGCTTCAACATCATTTCCTCATCAAGATATCATTTATTTGCACGACTTATCATCAAAGAAGACGATGTTTTTGTAAGAACAACAAACAAACGGACGAACGAACGAACAATCTAACAAACGAACGAATGAACGAACGAAAGAAAGAACGAACAAACAAACAAACAAATATTACAACACCAACACCATGATCGCCAACATAATAAAAGTTAACTACAATACAAACAATACACTAACAACAACAAAACTTATTGCAACATCATAAGCAACACGAATTGCAACATAAACTTTATAAAATATGACAACATCAGCACCATTATTATTATTATTACAACCATTAGATACATTCATCTTCCTTTATCATCACCAACAACATCATCATCATTACCATATCACCATCATCACCACAACATCATCATCATTCAGTCACATGACTGAGCTTGAGCGGGGAATACAAATGAGTTTAAAATGACTGCACGCATACTACCATCCATCTTTTGATCATCAAACCCCATCTTCAAACCTCCATAAAAATAAACAACAACATCGTCATCATCATCGTCATCATCATCGTCGTCATCGTCATCTATCAGAACATCATCATCAACATAGCACTTCGATAACTTATCCCCACTAGCGTCTTTTTCCTCATCATTTTCGTTAATGCTATACTCTTCATTTTGATCATCATCATCATCATCATCATCATCATCATCTTCATTACCATCACTACCGTAACTGCAGTTGAATTCAGCAGAATTATAACAATCCTAGGTTAGATCATCGTCTAGAACAGCATAGTAACAAACTACACCATCATCATCCAACAACAACATCATCAACAACTATAACGATGTAATTACGTATATGTGAGGGCAATAATGATGATGATATTAATAATCATCAAACAGCTCTCAAAAGAGCCGAAGAACAACCTTCAAATAACATTCATACAACAACAAAAACAACAACACCAACTACAACAACAATCACAACTACAACAATACCAACAACAACTATTACAAAAACAATAACATTACCAACTACAACAACAATCACAACTACAACAACAACCACAACTATAACGAAAACTACAGTAATGCCAACAACAACTATAACAATAACTTCAACAGCACCAACAACAACAACAACAGCACTCAATCAAACAACAACATTCAATTAACAACAACCACAACATTCCAATAACAGTCGTACCAGCAACATTAACAACAACACAAACAACAGTTCAATAAAACAAACACATTAGCCCGATATGACAAAATGGAAACAATATTAATTTCACCCACCAACAACAATACAAACAAGCATCATCACCATCAAACGAACAACAACAACAACAACAACAACAAAACATCCACACCACATCTATACACAGCTGAATTAATCAACAACAAATCAATCAAACAACAAACAAGCCAGCAATCATTATGTAACCTTTCTTAAACCTTAAACTTTCCCATCACACACACATACACACACAGACACACATATACAGAAACACACACACACACACACGTAGGTACACATTTATATTAACATCAGCATTAAAACCCTCTATTATCTTCACAAAGTATCATCATACATCATCAATATTAACTTACTTTTTCTCATATTATCTAAATTAAATTTATAAATTATTAAATTATATTGTATAAAAGAATAGTCTTCAAGCTTGCAGTTCTTACTTTAAAATCATTATATGGTATGCCACAAAAAAATTCGTTTCAAAAATCAAGTTACATCGACTTTTCATCACGGGTTGGATGATTTGAATTTGCTGTCTGTACCAGTTACAGGTTGGCGAATTGGTTCAAGAGACAATGCAGTTGCCGGCCCCACTGTTTGGAATAGTCTTTCATCGGTGTTCAGAAGATCTGGAATTTTATTGGAATTATTTAAGAAAGAATTGGAAACATTTTTATCTTCTGTTAAACCGTGAAAATTGTGACTTTTTAAAATTTTGTTTTTCATAAATAGTTACGTACATTTTGTTTTTTAATGTTGGCACTCATAAAACAGTGTTAACAAATTGCTTTTAATAAAATAATAATACTTCAACATAATATGTTGATTGTGTGTATGTGCGCGTTTGTGAGTGTGTGCGTGTGTATCTACATTTGCGTGTGCGTGTGTATGTGTGTATGTGATGCAGTGTTGGTGTGATGGTGTCGCGATGTGAGAATGAATGTGTGGGAGTGCCCACTGATGAAAAATCATTTAAGAAGATGAATGCACGAGGTGACAGAAGTGCTTGAGTGGTGAAGAACGTTTCATTTCGAAATTTCGAGTCACATCACGTTCGCCTCTTCAGCGTGCAGTTATCAATCGTTGAATGTTGAATTCAATTTTGTTGAATACATGCATGCATGCATGCATACATTCAACATGCATGCATGCATACATTCAAAATACATGCATGCATATATATCTGAGTAATAATCACACATGAAAAACTGTGCCTGCTAGGAAAACGATTTGAATTTTATTTCAAGTATATATCTGAAAAAATCTGCTAGATGTTTTTCCATTGAAATGTTACTAAAAACCATCTAGCACCTAGAATAAATCAACCCAAGGCGAGGAAACATTCAAACTGAATTAAACTAAGCATCTGAGTTGATCTAAAGTGATGTAAATGCGTATGTTTCAAGATGCGAGCATAGAAATTGGAAGAAAAAAAAGAAAGAAGTCGAGCCTGAAAAGAATGAGGCGAAGAAATTAAAATTTATATGTGTTTCAGTAAGTAGGTAGATATGCAAATATTAATTAAACTCATGCTCATTGTAAGTCTTCTGAATGAATACTGATGCGACGTGATGGGATCGCTTTGATGTAATTGATGTGATTTAATTGATGCAACTGTGGTAATTTATATTTAAAAAATTTCTGAATAAGATTGCAGAGACACATAGAAAACACATGAGGTAGTAAACACATAGAAGTTGACACATAACTGTAAACTGAAGAAATTAAGCGAGCGTTTTGATGGACATTTTTTGTCAATATTCGTTCGTTTTAAGTGTGTTTGTTAACAATTATCAGGTATACATATTGTTTGTAGGTATGTGCGCGTTTGTGAGTGTGTGTGTGTGTATCTGCATTTGTGTATGCGTGTGAATGTGTGTATGTGATAAAATGTTGGTGTGATGACGTTGTGATGTGAGAATGAATGTGTGAAAAATCCGCCGGTGAAAAATCATTTAAGAAGATGAAGGAAAGAGGTGACAGAAGTGAAGAAAGTTTCAATTCGAAATTTCGAGTCAAATCACGTTTTGCCTCTTTCACCTGCAGTTATCAATCAGTCGTTACATGTTACTTCGTTGAAAGCATGCTAAATGCGAGTTCTTGTGATCTGATGGCATGTGATGGCTGTTGTTCTGATTGATGTTGTGGCTGATGTGGTTGTACGTTGCGGCTGCTGTAGTTGATGCGATTAATGTGGATGTGGCTGTTGTAGTTAATATGATTAATGTGGTTGTGGCTGTTGTAGTTGATGTGATTGATGTGGATTTGGCTGTTGTAGTTGATGTGATTAATGTGGATGTGGCTGTTATAGTTGATGTGGTCAATGTGGTTGTTGCAGGTGTGGTAGCTGTCGTGATTGATGTAGCGGCCGTTGATGCGATTGATGCTGGTCTGTTTTTGTGGTTGCTGTCAAAGTAGCAGGTCTGCTGTTGCTATGTTCCGCGATGCATTGCTAATGAGTTGTGTTTGTTGTTGTCGTTAGTTGAAATAGTTGCAGTTGCGTGCTAATGTTTCTGAGGTTTTGTAAGTTTAGTTGTGGATGAGGATCAACAACATTAGCGACCACAATCGCCTAGCTACATTAAATACGTCAACTTGAAGCCTTATTCTTCATCCGTTTCATTGTTTTTGGTAATTTTAAAAAAATTACCTATCTGAATTACTTTGTTAATGTTCATGGCGTTTAAATATTCTGAATCAAAATAATTATAGAATTTTTTTTCTGCTTTTTTAACTTTAAGAAACAAAAGTATAAAATAATAATTGAATTGTACTTGTAAAATTGAACAGCCTATTTAAAATGAAACTAATTATTTTCGTTTTTAAATTGTTCACTATTTAATTCTGTACATTAATTAATAAAATATCTCGTTAGTGGTTCATAAACTGAGCTGATTACAACAAAACGCCAATAATAAGAACATTAAACATCACTTTTTTGACCGGCAGCTTCTCGAACCGCGCCTCTGAATTTTACATAGAGGGGCGCTCTATAAATTCTCCATACCATACCATACCATTAAAAACACACACTCACACAGACACTAGATAGGTACAGTTTAACACATAATCACGTCAACAAAACAATACTAAATTTTATTCACACAGAACTCAATTATTCCATTCAGATCAAACACACATTCGCATGCTAGACCCACGCACACAAACACACACACACACGCATCACCCATACTTTCAAAAGACGAACACACACGCACCCATACTTTCAAAAGACGAACACACACACACACTTTCAAAAGACGCACACTTAAGCATCCACACAAACTCACATACATCTATACATACATACACACGTCATATGCACAGAGAAACACACACACGCACACGCACACGCACGCGCACACACACACACACGCACACAATCACGTACACTCCAACGTCTAAAGAAGGAAATCTTTGTTCACGTCCAACAAACATGCAGGCCACACATTCCCCACGTATTTGCCCACTAACAAAGCATACAATAATCAACACGTTACGTTACGTTACGTTACGACAAATAATAATCGAATTAAAGTCCATGCGTACATCCCTATTATTATGCGTTATGACGTCACGCAGTTCTTACGTCATAGTCACTTTCGTTACCGTGATAATCGCTTGTGTTTGAATTTACATTGAAAATGTCAGTCAGTCTCTCTCTCTTTCCCTCCCTCTCTCTCTTTCTCTCTCTCTCTCTCTCTCTCTCTCTCTCTCAGGTCTTGTAATGGAAATGGAAAATAAATACATAAATGAGCGGATATGAGCCAACCAACAGTTTCATGAGTTGAGTGAATTAATTGAAATTTTACGATTATTTACAATGTCTAAAAGATGTATGCAAGCGAATAAATGAATGTATGAATGAATGAATGAATTAATTAATTAATTGAAATATTGATTGGTTGATTGATTGAAAGATTGCGAAATGAATAAAGGTTTTGATGAATTAGAGAACGAAAAAAGATCGCTTTTTTTATTTGTCCAACATATTGATAAATAAATGAATTAAATTAAATTAATTTAATATAAAAATAAATTTAATTTAATTTTTTTCACTTAGTGAGTGAGTGAATGAGTGTAAGTCAATGAGTGAGTGACCGAGTGACAGAGTGACTGAGTGACTGACGGAATTGACGGATTGGATGACACGAGTCAGCACATCACTTTGAAATGTTTGCTAGGATTGGACGTATTGGAAGTTTTATTGATAATGTCATCATGTCACCTCACACATTCCAAATATCCGCCTCTCACATACCACAAGTTACAAAACAAATCTTTTTTCTCTCTTCTCCTCTCTCTTTTCTCCTCTCTCTCTCCTCTCTTTCTCTCTCCTCTCTCTCTCTTTTCGTCTCTCTCTCTCTCTTTTCGTCTCTCTCTCTCTCCTCTCTCTCCTCTCTTTCTCTCTCCTCTCTTTCTCTCTCCTCTCTTTCTCTCTCTATTCCTTTCCTCTTTCTCTATTTTTCTGACTCCATCCTTAGCTCTTTCTCTCTCTCTCTGTCCCACAAGTTGCACACACATCCATAGTATGAAGAGACTTCTCTCTTTCTTTCTCTCTCTCCCTCTCTCTCTTTTCTCTATCTCTTTTTTTCGTTTACATACAGATAGTTATTCAATTAATTATTCATACACAACCCAAAATATTCCAACAATTTACATTACATACAATTCTTGAATAAGTTATTATTGTACTAATTGAAAACCAAAGAAAAATTACATCAGTCAGAAAGAAGAAAAAACCAATAAAAAAAATATTTAAAAGATATTTTTTAAAAATCAATTACTAAATTAATATTACATATAACAAGTTTGTGCACGTGTGCGTGTGTGTGTGCTTGTACGTGTGCGTGCGTGTGTACATGTGCGTACGTGTGTGTGTCAATTAGAATCTCCAAGTGTGCAACAAATTGAATATTTTCTTTTCTTGCTGGCAATACGTGTTACATAATTTCAAGATGAGTTCGCCTGATAACAGTGTAAACATCATTCACACGGTCGCGGCTAGGAGGATGTTGATGTGACATCATCATGTGATGACATCATCCTGGTTATTATTATTATTATTATTATTATTATTATAATTAAATGAGAAATGTGAAATGAGTCAATTTTAAGACTAATTAACTCTGGTCGTACTCTCTCGATTCGAATGATCAGCTTCTCAGATTAATACTCTATTTGTTGCATTTGACATTTTATTTTATTTCATTATTTTATTATTATTATTATCATCATCAATATAATAATAATAATTATTATTATAATCATAACTACAATAATAATTATTATTATTGGGTGATTTGAATGAATAAATGTATCCTATCCTCATCATGCATTCATCACGTACTGAAAAAAAAACTTAATTACAAAAAGAATTAACATCATGTGAACAAATTGACAGAATTGGTTACTCACTCGCTCACCTCCAACATCACCACCATCTGTAATTTAAATTTCAAATATTTCTTTTGATACCTGACATACTGCTCCCTTGTTGCGCAACTCAAAGCCGCCACTTCAACATTACTATGTTATGTTAATTATCACCTAGAGTTGCGACTTTAGACACCTTTAAAGATAAGCATATAATATGAAAATTAGAAACTTTTTGAAAATATAATTACACCAGTGAATGTCGGTTGATTGGGTTTATTCTCTCAAATGAATTTTTTAAAATTTACGTTAAAATTAGAAAAAAAGTTGTATTCATTAAATTAATAAATAAAACGACACTTTAAATAATCGTTTGTATGAGATTGTTACATTAAACTGATTATTTTTCAAATTCAAGTCAAATCATTAAAGTAAATTAATCAATTTATTCAATTAAGACTATTCAATTCAACTATTTCTTAAAATTAATTAATAAATTGACGTACGTATTAAGCGCAATTCATTCGAGCATTTTCATACATTACATTCAAATTATGCCCCAGAGGTTTCACTTCGTTTTTCAATTAACTCTCATAGTGAATTCAATGCATGTCGTCAGTATTAACAAAACAGCATGCTTTCGATGCTACTATAACTACAACAACAACAACTACTACTACTACTACTACAATCACTGATGCTACTACTACTACTGCTGCTGCTGCTGCTGCTGCGTCTGCTACTACTGCTACTACTACTACTACTGCTGCTACTACTACTACTGCTGCTGCTGCTACTACTACTACTACTACTACTACTATAACTGCTGCTGCTGCTATGGCTACTACTACTACAACAACAACTACTACTACTGCTACTACTACTACTTCTACTATTACTACTACTACTACTACTGCTACTACTGCGAGTCTGTTACTTTACTTTGACTACTAGTACTACCATTATTAATAGTAATACACAACAACACAACAACAACAACACATCAACAACAACCAAATACAACAACAATTGACGCTGATTAAGATGATGCCACAGAAAACAAATGTCACCATACAACATCTAATTGATTGCACGGAATGTTAAATAACTTTTTAATGAGTATGTAATTCTCATTACATCAGTATGCTGGGGTGTAATGATACTCCCAACAATCCTCTTCATGAGAGGCGCTATACAAATCAATAAATAAAATACAAATATCTGTCAAAGATTTCATCAATGTCATTATCAGTATTATAAATTCTATCATCTATTTACATTTTCAACATCAATATCGTAATCACATGACTTCCGCAATCATCATAATTACACCACCTCCATCGTCATTCACGTCAAAGATAGTTTTCATCATCATTCCTATTCTCACTATCACCATATTTCACCATTTCCATTTCTGCGTATGTGTGTGTATGTGTGTGTGTGTGTGTGTGTGTGTGTGTGTGTGTGTGTGTGTGTGTGTGCATTCGTGGGTGAGCTTCAACAATTTTTGATTTAGTTTCACCATCTTAAAACTACATTTAAAAAAAACCCATGAGTAATAGAGAAACTATTTTAACCAAGTCTCAAAGCTGAAAATACAATGAGATAAAATTTTAATAAAAAAACAAATAAATAAATAAATAAATTAATTAATTAATAAAAAGGAATATAATTTATTACATAGTAAATACGTATATAAAATTATATAAAACTCTATGTAGAAAGAGAGTTATATATTTAGATATAATTGATTATGAAGGAAGCGCCGTTTGCAGGGCAACTCCAGAAAAGGGTCCCCGTTAATTGAATTAAATCATTCCAGAGGTGAACTGTTTCCTGTATGATTATGTGTGTGTGTGTGTGTGCGTGTGTGTGTGACTGACTAGTTTGTTTTATGCTTGTGTGTGTGTGCACGTGTGAGTGTGTTTGTTTGTCTAAATGATACACATCAAATTAGTAATTTGAATAAAATTCGACATGTTAATGATGAAATTTGATTCTAAATTTTATTCCGTTATAATCGCTACTGGAATTGAAATATAGCACTGCCAGCGTCACCATCAGCAACTATGAACACAATTTAGTCGGCAACAAACTTAACAAATATGCAATGCGAATAATGTATATGAATATGCATATATGTGCTTCTGTATGAAATTTGTTTGTGTGGTGCGTGTCTTCCAGTGTGTTGTGCGGTGTATGTGTGTTTGAGTGTGCGCGTGTGTGTGTTGTATAGAGTAGAATGGTACAAGTGTTGGTTTACGTGCACACGTCTCCTTACCATAGAAGTCATATCATCTTTCATAAACAGCAGATACCATCTATGTACGTGTGTATGTATGAGTGTAGGTTTGTATGTATGTGTGTGTGTAGGTTTGTATGTATGTGTGTAGGTTTGTATGTATGTGTGTTTGTATGCATATTGCATGTATGCATACGTATATTTATACGTATATGCATGCATGTATACACTAGCAAATTACCCTGACATACAAAAAAAATTTTTTTTTTACTTTCTTTAGTGAGTGTATGTTTTTCTGGATCATTTCAGCATGCTGATTTCAAATCTGTAATCCATTTACTTGTATCACATCAAAATTTTAAGAAAACTTCAGTTGAAGTAATGATCACTTTATTAATAAATATACTCACAATATAATCATTAAAATATAAAAAGTAATTTCTTTCAAGATTTTTATTAATCAAAAAATGTCATTCTATTGAAAACAAATAGTTAATAGTTAAAAATTTTGTGATTGTTCATTAAAATAAGACGGTTGATTCAAATTTAATTTTAAGAAAGAGGCTTAAATTTTTTGCATGTAGACTTTCGACGGTGCTTAGCTTCTGGGGCATCACGTTGCAGAAACCAGCAGTAATCTGCGAGCATAGCACTACTCCATCGTCCTTGATAGCGTGATTCCATTACAGCGATTTCTTGGTGGAAACGCTCTCCGTGTTCGTCACTGACTTCACCAAGACATTCAGGGAAAAAGTCAATATACGAATCAAGAAGATGTATTTTAAGGGACATGTTACATCCCATCTTCTGAAAGGCATTGATGCATTGTTCAACGATTTCTTTGCAATTATTTGACTTATTATTTCCTAAGAAATTGACAACAAGTGATTTGAATGCTGCCCATGCCTCGAGATCTTTTCCATTTAGCATATCTTGAAAATGTTTATCACCTATTACTTTTCGAATCTGAGGGCCCACAAAAATTCTTTCTTTTATTTTAGCATCACTGATTCGTGGAAACATGGAACGAAGATATGTAAAAGCATCACTTGTATTATCCAACGCTTTCACAAAATTCTTCATCAGACCTAACTTGATATGTAACGGTGGTAAAATGATATTTTTTTTGAGAACCAGTGGCTCATGCAAAACATTCTTATGACCAGGCTCCATGCGATCCCTAATAGGCCAAATCTTTTTTGTATAGTGTGCAACTTTATCCCGGCTATTCCATTCGCAGAGGAAACAGCAGAACTTGGTGTAACCAAGTTGTAGACTCATGAGGATTGCAATGACTTTCAAGTCTCCACACACTCTCCATTTGTAACCATTATATTTTATTTTTATTAAAACATTACTGATATTGCCATAAGTCTCTTTTAACTGAGTGGAGTAAACAATTGGAATTGATGGCAATAAATTTCCATTACGCAGCAGCACAAATTTTAGGCTCGTTTTTGATGCATCAATAAAGAGCCTCCAGTTCTTCACTTCATGTTCATGACCAAGATGTGCCATAAGATTTTTAACATCATTACAGTAGCACATACTGTCATCTGATGTAAAGTACAGCATAAACTCCTTGAGTCTGAAGCGAAAGTTGCATATTTTTGCATCAGGAGCTAATAAATTCCACTGTTTTAATCGTGAACCAAGAAGCTCCGTCTGTCCTTTCGTCAAAGCAAGATCACGTATAAGGTCAGAAAGATTTACATTATTAACTAAATGAATTTCATCACTTTTTGGAATGTAGTTATCATCAGAATCATTGGTACTTTCTGGATTTGCTTGCTTGTCACTCTCTGAAGAATCATCTGAATGAAAGGAGTACGAATCAGGAGAAATTGGAACTGGACAGTTGACAGGGTTGTGAGGAATCGGCTTGGATACTGATTCAATGTCGGATAAGAAATAGACTTACGAGTTTTAAATGAAAATCCTTTTATAACTGTCATGCAAAAGTAACAATCTGAGGCATGATTTGTGGGTTTGCGCCATATGACTGGAACTCCAAACGGTATTGACTTGTGCTTTGGTGATTTTCGCAACCAACCTGCCAAAGTATTAGCACAAATGGAGCAAATGTTGTTTGGTTTCCACTGTTTTTTCGCATCATCAACTTTTGAATCTAAATAAAGTTCATAAGCTTTTTTTAATAATTTGGTCATCGTTTTCCGATGGTCGACATCAGTAAAATACCCACAAACATAACAAAACAAATTAGGAGAATTTAAACACGAGTAGCCATGGCAACGAAATTAAATTTTTATTATGAAAACAAATAACGTAGGGCATAGATAAACTATACTGGTAAAAGCTTTTTTTTAAAAAAATTGTTTAGTCGTTTTCTTTGGAACGCAATGTGATAGAGAAAAACGGTTTTCAGATTTGAAATCAGCCTAAAAAACTTGTATAAGAACATTAATTATTTTATGGGAAAGAAAAATTATGTATGTCAGTGTTATTACTGTTTGCAAAGAATCGTCTGTGATGTAAGAGAAATTTTCATTAATATTTTACATACAGTAAGTACTGGTTTTACAATTTTTATTTTTAGCGTAAATAAGCGATTTTTTTTCTATTCCATTGACATATCATCAAAATTAGTTTTTTGAACTTCTTGTAAGAATTGAATTATAGCACTGTAACTGAACGTTAACCACGAGCAAGTGCTAACTCCCCACATTCTGGTTCTATTGTACTCCTTACATACACATGCCACTCCACGGAGGCCCCTTATGAAGAACAAGCAAGAAATGACAACTTCGCTACTATCTTTATCTTAAATATTCCGGGCTACTTTCTTTCCAGATCAACGCCTGAACCTGAAAGATACAAAATGAGGTTAAAAAATATCCAGACCATCATGCCCGGGTGGTGTGGGAAGACTAGAAGGTGGCCGAGAACAACTAGGCCACTGAATTAAATAAGAGCTTGCAGTACCTTCTAACTTTATATTATTCACGCCCAAAATTGCTTTTAAGCCCTGCTTAAGAACGATTTTCCATTTTTCTTACATATCGGCAGAATGATTACCACTTTACAATTCTTACCTGCACCACCTGGAACCCGCAACCAGGATCGATTGCAGTTTAAAAATTAACACGTAGATTAGACAAAAAGTTCGAAGTCGTTGAAACCTTTTTATTCGTTAAAAATCCATTCTCACATTAAAATAATCCACAGCTCGAATTCAATTCAACATTGTTAAATATCCAACACGTTTTTATACATTAAATTAATTAACTTAATCCGGATTTAAAAATCGGGAATATAGAATAAGGATATCCCGACAGTTAAGAAAATAATCCATTCGCATAAATCAGACGGTCAATTAGTTAATATTCAAATAAACCATCCATTAATGCAATTAGTTCAGAGCAGCGAACATGTAGTGGAGAATTTAATAAGAAAGAAATAGCAGCCTTGATGTTATCTACATTTTATTTTTCATCTTCCTGTAGGCATCCGATCATTCAGAGGAACGAACGGCTGAACTCGAAAGATACAAAATGAGATAAGATAATATCGAGATCGCTATGTCTAGACTTACACCTCATCTCACCACACCACAGAATGAATGGTACGCACACTATAAAAATAATAAAATGAATGACAACATTAGAAGATAGTAAACACAGAAGTGGAAAATGTTAACTACTCGGTTCATAAGTTACTTGAGAACAAATAAGTTAATAAATTATTATTAACTTTTATTCACTCACACATTTCGAATGTTTTATTTTGTCTTTTTTCATCCTACATAGAAACATTTTAATAATAATTAATCTCTCGCGCGCCTTTTGATCAGTTGATAATATTCTTGAATTTTTCAGTTAATGATCCATCTGGCGGGAAAAAATAAATTACTTTAATTTAAAAAAAAAACTTGAAAGATTTATTTATTTTGTTATTAATGAATCCTCAAATACTTATTTGTCTCTCTCTCTCTCTCACACACACACACACACAAAGACACACAGCCACAAGCAAACCTTATTAAGATAATCATCCAAATCAGCGTCCAGTTGTTCCTTAGTCAAATCCTCCTTCTTCACCCTCTGACCCTGCTGCTGCTGAGGCCGAGGTCGTTGCTGGTTGGGTCTGCTGCCCCTGTTGTTGTTATTATTCTGGAACCTTCCACGCACTGAGAAGTTACTGAATTGGTAGATGGTCGAAAGATTAGTAAGATGTTAAAAACTAACTCAATTATGAAAATTTCGTATATTACAAATTAGTCTTTGTTGGAAGAACTTGTAAAGAAGATGGACTGATAAAAATCAGAACAATCGAAAAGTTAAAAAAATGTAATAGAATTTAAAATCAGTTAACAAGCACTGAACAGTCAACAAACTGACTTCCTGCTATAAGGCTCGACATTCTTCTTAGCACCCAACCTACTGCCCATGTCCTGCGGATTGCTGTTCCTAACAAAGGCAATCTCCATCGGGAGCCCTATTTGTTTGCATTATTTTTACGCAGATGATTTAAATTCACTTTTACACATTTTTAAATATCATCCCCCAACAAAAATGTATCAAATGATTCAGCTTAAAATAATTGAAAAAAACAAAACCGGAACAAAACCCACTTCAGACAAACAAGAAGCCAACCAAACAACAAACCAGCCAATCAACTAAAACATGTAGTGTCTGTGATTGTTTATCCAAACATGTCATTTTGAAATGGCATTCCTGTTAACATTCAAGACTGTCAACTGGCCATTAAAACTTATTATAAATTATACTGACGTTGATACAATTGTACAGTGCATTCTATTCATAAAAATATTTGTATGTAATATTTCCACAAAACAAACAGAGAAGCAATAAAGCTTTAAGAGAATTTTCATCAAATCATAACCACACAAATAGAAAGCACAACTACAAAATTACCAACACAAATGAAAACAAAACCACCCACAACACTCCAACTAATGACAACACACACACACACATATACACAAAGGGAGTCGCCAAACGAACCGTCAAGTGGAACCTTGTTGTACTGTTCACAGGCCTTCATGGCAGCTTCCCTATTCGAGTACTCGACCTCTGCTGACCCCAACGACCTGCCTGATCTGTCGTAGTTCAAACTTGATCGGATCATTGAACCGAATTCACCAAACAGCTCCTAAATCATTTGATTAAATGAGAGAATTATTTAATACTTTACATATATGATGGTATATGTGAGATATAACATATTACATTTGTCATGCCTGAAAAATTCTTTGAATCCATAAAATGATTGACAAGAATTGAGTTTAGACAAAAAAGAGAGAATAATTGAAATGACGATGCAGACCTTGATGTCCTGATCACTGACAGTGTAGTTCAAGTTGGATATCCTAATGATCGTCGACGTGGGTCGTTGGACCGGGACCGGTGGCAAAACATTTGGTTTAAAATCATCAAATTTATCATGGACCCATGTGGAATCTGAACTGTTGTTTGATTGCTGTGGGTGGAAAGGAAATGAAGGCTGAAACCTTTACTTTTTAAATAAAATTATTTTTAAATAAAGTTCTTTTATTTTTAGAGAAAATGTGAAAAGAAGAAAATAATTTGAAATGATTTATTTACTTATAATTTAACATACTAATACTTAATACTAATTATAATTACTTATGTCTTATACTAGCAACACAATATCTATTTTAAAAATAATTGAATTTTATTAGAAATTAAGAACACAACCATCTATATTTGTTCATTATATTTTAGAATTTTATTAGGCAACAATTGAACTAACTCTATTATTGTATCTAGGCGACGTTTTGGTCACTCTTCCCCTAGAAACCCCAAAATTTCGATTCTGCCGGTTGTCATTGTAGCCCCCAGATGCAAACTGCTGGTTGTTGAATCTTCTTGGCTGCTGTTGTTGACTGACATTTCGTCGACCGGTTTTCATTTGAGGTTTATTCAACTTAATGATATCGTCCAAACTCATGTCAATCTTATTTGAAGCCATTTCTGCGAACGAATTAGTGACGCTGGCAAGTTAAAAATTTATTTCACTGACGACGAAACGGCACTCCAAGACGCCCTATTATCAACTGAGCTATTTGGACGAAGCAAAGTATAAGCAGTCATTTTTAAGGTAAATTAAAATGTCTTTGGTATTAAACTTATTTAAATTTAAGAAATTTAAATTTGAATTAAAAAACTTTTACAATAGTATAAATGGCAGTCTAAAATTATACGTTAAAAATTTTTTTACATATTTTTAAAATTTGGTATAATGTCAAAATACCTTTGAATAATACCTTTGATTAAATGAATTGGTAAGCATTGAAATCGAGTTCTACTACTACTACTACTACTACTACTACTACTACTACTACTACTACTACTACTATTATTATTATTAATAATACTACTACTACTACTACTACTATTATTATTATTAATAATAATACTACTACTACTACTACTACTACTACTATTATTATTATTATTATTATTATTATTATTATTAATAGTAGTAGTAGTAGTAGTAGTAGTAGTAGTAGTAGTAGTATAGTAGTAGTAGTAACATTACTGCTACTACTTTTACAACAACCGTTTTTTTACAGGTTCAATGGTAAAATCTATTCTTGCCGTCTAACAAAGTCATCGGTGTTATCTATTGTCATCATCATCACCATTATCATCGTCATCATCACCATCATCATCAACATTTTCATCATCATCATCACTATTGTCATCATCATCATTGTCATCATCAATATTATCATCATCATCACCATTATCATCGTCATCATCACCATCATCATCAACATTTTCATCATCATCATTACTATTGCCATCATCATCATCACTATTTTCATCATCATCATCTAAATTGATATTTTACTATAATTTCTTTCAAGCTTAATGAAAAAAAACAATTTTAAAAAAATATTTTTTTAAAGTTAGAGAAAATAAGAATAATTATAAACTTAATAGATTAGAGTTCAACGAGTTTAATGAATGACCGTTATAACATATCTCTTCTTAGTTGAATTTGAATGTTTTGAAAAATATTTTAAAAGCTAACACCTGCTTGCAAACATTTGATAGCGATGATCAAAAATCGAAAATGCCAAATGAAAATGATGGTGTTTGAAGGTTCTAGACACGCAACATCAGAAAAGAACTCATTTTGACAGCTGGGATTAGTAGTAACTATTTTTTCAAACTCTCCCTATTACATATGTATATACGACCCTAGATTTCTCGCGCTTCATAAAAGTGTTCGCTTAGCTCATAAGATTTAACAAAACTTGGTTCATCATCATATGTAGAGAGCTGATTTTTTAGAGGGAGTTTAATATCATTTCGATATCATTTTGAGAGAATGAATTTTTTGAAATTTATTATCACTATTGTGTTTTGTGTTAGGTGGTTTGCTCTTCTGCCTGTGCATGCTTCCATGGATTATATTGGCGACGGGTGGGTCAATATTTATGAAGATTGCCGAAGTTTAGAAAATAAATTCTAATTTCAAATTTAACATTCTTCTTTCAAAATTCATAATAAAAAATAATACTAAAAGGCAAAATTTTAAAAAAGTTCTATTAACTTATTGAGAATCGCATTTGAAGGCCTCAAAAATTTTCATGAATTAATTCTTCGGACCAGGTTGAGTCACTTCTGTAACAACACCATGGACAGCCTCGTCCAAGAAAAGGACCTCTGCAGCAAGGCCCCTGACTACCTTCTGAGAGGGTTCCAACTGGACTACCAGACCACGGGTCTTCGAGAAGATATGCTGAATGAGATTGTCACGACGGATGAATCCACACAGTGCATCTTCATTCGGTTCTGATCGTTATCATTTTCATTATAGACAGTCTCGAAGAATTGATATCAAATGAAATCGTTGTAATTTAGCGATGTAACTCAAACTTTCCTTCTCTCCTGATTGTTTGTTTCGACATTTTGAAAAAATAATCCCTATTTAAAAACTTACCTATCAGGTCCAATATATCTTTTAGTAATATTTAAACAGCGTAAAATTCTGCTTAAGATCTTATTGTAATATTTCGTTGAAGTTGAAGTTTGTTACACATATGCGTAAGACGCAACCATCTTTTTAACCATTTCAATAACTGCCAACAGGAAAGAAGTTGAGCGAGTTGTGAGTTGCTGTCGAGGCTGGAGTGGCTCGATGTGTGACGAACGTTAGAGGGTTCTTCATTTCACAATAAGACAGAGTTTATTCGTGTGTAATGATGCTGTCTTTATCTGAATTGTGATATAGAATTGGGATATTAATCTAATTAATTGGTTGGTAGTTGCAGTGAAAAACATTCATCTGAAGTCGAATCTCGTCTTCAGATTTCATCATCGCATCAGATCTGAGAAGTTGATTTTTTATTTGTTAGCAATCTGTGAGGAGGCCTGCCAGCACGGGGGCTACTGCGAGTTTCCTGGCCAGTGCAACTGCGATGGAACCTTCCACTGTGGAAGCCACTGCCAACTCAACTTCAAAGATTATGGCTAGCAACGTTTATCTAATTAAACCATTTACACATGAAAAACAATCTTGCATTTCAATTATTATTATTATCATTATTACTATTATTATAATTATTATTATTGTTGTTATTATTATTATTGTTGTTGTTATTATTACTATTATTATAATTATTATTATTGTTATTATTATTTTAAATTATTATTATTATAAATTATTAATATTATTATTAACATTATTGACGAGTTAGCTCAGACGGTAGAAGCGCTATGTCTCGCGCACGTTGTTATTGTTGTATGCGTTATTGAAGCATCTTAAATGAAAAACTTCTACTAATACTATAATACTGATAATAGAATAATACTGTTAAATTTTTTCACATTACTCATATGAAACCTTGCGAAAATAATTTCTGTCACATGCCATCCAGGGGAGTTAGGATTCTGTTACAAAGACAGATTGTGCTCCAACTCGAGTGGCTTGTTGGATGTAGAATCCCTGACCTCCATTGAGGAGTGCTGCATGTTCAGAGCTGGCAGGTCCTTCCGGGCCTGTTCCATGGGGTGCACATCTTGCAGGCTATTGCCACCTCTCCACACCTTTCCAGCCAGCAATCCAAATGGTCTGTGAAATGAAACTTCATGTCGATGAATGATCTGGCTTCATAAAATTTATTTTATTCAAAATAAATAACAAAAGTTGAAGAAATTTGTAAAATAATTTTGCATGTTAGTTGTCGTTGTTGCTTTGGTTCAATGCTATAGTAAAATTTTAACTAATTAATTTGTTTGTTTGTTACAATTCTCTCGTCAGTACTTTTCAGATGCATGTAGAATAGCAACAAGCACACAGTGCATGCAAACACACGTGAAACAGTGCATCACACACATTGATAGACCACTTTGCTATCGAATCTGGTCACTGCAATATGAGTGCCAGGCACTTTACCGCTACACCATCGTGCCGGCGAAAATAGTAGTTTAAAAACGATATTTTTGAGATTTTGTAGAATTTTTATAAACGCAGAATTAGTTAGTCCCGATCTATTCTGCGCCGGTTCCGGCAACAATTACATCCGGACGTTTGATGGCATGGAGTACTTCTACGAGTTCGGCAGCACCTACACCATCTTCACTGACGGGAAGAAGTTCATCAACATGAAGATGCTCGGCCAGGGGCTCTTATCGTTTGATAAGGTAGTCTCCAGTGTCGTCAGTTGAATGAAATCGTTTTTCAAAGACGGTTTGAAGTGTTTGCATTATTTGTTCAATTTTACGCCAGTTAATAAAAACCAATTAAAATAAAAAATAACTTAGTTAAGTTAGCATAATGAGTTAGTGTAACACCGACCGTTGAACATAATATTTAACGCGAAGCTCGTTTGTGAAGCTTGCAGTCTATGTACTCTATTTACTACTTACATTTCAAACGTTCTGCCAAACAGGAGTTTGTCATTCAAGCAGACGCCGACAGGCTGGTGGTCATTCACGGTGCTGACGTCAGGATTAATGACGTCAGCATCAACGCGGACGAGGAGACAAGTGGATACGTTGATGGGAGTTGGTTGAGGAAATTTTTTGAATGGACGCTGAGTTTTTTTTTACTTCGATTTGAATGTCTGTTTTATTTTAAAATTATATAAATTAAAAAACGGTTTTTCAAAATGTAATTTTTTTCACACTGTAAGTTGTAAAACGAGTTTGAAATGAAAAACATATCTAGCATTGAAGTTGACGCGCGTTGGAGATTACAGGATCATGCAACACGGATCGATGTCATTCGGATGGGATATGTATGGATCCTGGTTTGTGAAGTTGGATGAGTTCAAGCAGGTTCAAAATTCAGAGGTCATTGGAGGACTGTGTGGAAATAACGATAACTGTGCCACCAGTCGGTTTCTAATTATATTTCTTTGCACTTATATTTCTTTGCACATTTAAATCAATCAAAATCACTTTACTTTTATTGTACATAAGCTCGTGTTAAACGTGTGACTGGAAGAAATAAAATTCAACTTTGGATATACCTTGAATTAACATATAAAGATAAAAATGTTATCAACTTAATCATTTATTATCTCCATATGTCTGTATAATTAATTTAAAATCATTCCTATCTACGATTATAGATTATATCATTCAAACAAATTTCAATTTTCAAATGAAATTATTTTAACATTAAAAGACGAGTTTGTTAAAAAGGGTGTCAATAGAACAATGGCTGAATTTGTCAAACTCTGGATTCCGAGCAGTGTGCAGGTAACTTTTCCCACTTCAAATTTTTCTGTAAATATTTCTAAAAGATTTGATAAGATCTGAATATCTTCAAATATTTGTTGAATTTTAACTAAAAATTTTTGATATTATGATGATCTTCCACAGATCCGCAACGACTCGAAACCTTACACGCCACAATGTAGCGACGACGTCACGAGCAAGTTAGCAGCTAAGTACTGCCTCGCATTGAAAAGTTACCCATTTGCTAAATGCCATAAAAAAGTGAACGAAATTGTGTTTAAATAACATTTAATATATATGTACGAATGAATAAAAATATAAAAAATATAAATAAAATAAAAAATATAAATATAAAAAATTTAATACTGTTCACTCGTTTTTAAGTTAGTTAAAATTATTTCAAATAATTTTACGCTAATTGTTTTTAACCGTCGACAAAAATCCAAAGCAGACTAATGTAAACTTGTTGAAACAATCAATGACATGGAAAATTTTAGGTCCCTGTGTCAACATTTCTAGCGAGATGTATCAACGATTTTTGTTCAGCCTCAAAAGAGAACCAGCTGAACAATGGAACGAACGGAACAATGAACATCGAAGAAGCCGTGGTATGCAGGATCCTATCGGAGTACAACAGGGAGTGCACCAGGAACAACGTCTTCTTTGATTGGAGGACTGCCCAGCTGTGTCGTCAGTTTCGTTCTTCAGACAAAATGTTTCAACCAAAAATATTGCTTGAAATAAATCGTAAAATATTGAATTCACTCATAATCTCAAGTTTTATATTGTTATTATTATTAAATCAAATGACAATTTCAAACAATGCACGAAAAATCGAATGAAATTAACTAAAAAGAAACGTTTAGAAAGTTACGTTTAAATGCGTTTCAATTATATTTGCTATAATGATTAAAAGGTTTATTTTCTCACCCGCCACAAGTTGAAACTACGTTAACCGACTACCACTTGAAACTCATTTTAAGCTCGTTACTGCAGCGACCCGGACAAAACGTACATTGAAACCCTGACGAGTTGCGTGCCAACATGCAGCAGGATGGATGTGGGTCCCTCGTGTTCCAACGGGGCCAGCTACCCTGGATGCCAGTGCAAGCAGGGCATGCTCCCCGAGAACAACAAGTGTTACCTTCCCAAAGACTGCCCCTGTAAATATCGGGGCGAGGATTTCCCGGCTGATTATGTGGTGCAAAACGAATGCAACTTTTGGTATTTGTACTGGATAATTTTTGCTAATAATTTAATTTAGATCTACAAAGTAATTTTCTGTATAGTAGTTTAATTTCATTTCAGACTTTAAAGATGTTTCAAATATTTTATAACGTTTATGAGTCTGCAACTATTATTGTTGAAGCAAATGTTTCTATGGATCGTGGCAATGCACCAAAAACGAGTGTCCCAAAACCTGTTCAGTATTCGGTTTGGAGCACGTGACAACATTCGACCAATTCTTCTACTCCCTGCATGGTCCCAGCTGTGAGTTTGTTCTCGTTCAGGTTGGTGTTCGGTGTAGATTTCTAATTCATTACAAAATTTTAGTTCACGCTGGATCACGTATGAAATTTATTATGGGCTATGAAATGGAAACTCATGAATGATCTATGGTTCCTGTTACTTCCTAATTTTAGACCGACGAAATCAGTTCTACATTTAATCCACTGCGCATCACCATGAAGACAATAAAAGTGGGGGATGATTCAACAAATTACACCAGGCCAATCAGCGTCAGAGTTGAGACAATCAATTCAGACGGCAACCAATCAAAAGTGTCGGTGGAGTTCGTGGATGGTAAGCCACTGATCGCATTGGATGGGAATGAACTGTTCACGGACAGCCTTCCCTACAATAGTCCTGTTTTCAAGTTGTTTTGGTTGCCTGATTCGTTTTTTGTCATTCAGGGTAAGGATTTCCAAGTGAGGTTCGACGCAAGTGGGTCAGTTATTGTCAGATTGGGAACAAGCTACGTTTTGAAGGTTGACGATTTCAAATTTTTAAATAACCCATAAATTAAAATCAATTAAAATTAAAAAAATTAGAAAAAAATTATGAACAGTTTCTGCAAATATAAATGAAATCAAATTATAAACGATCAAACTTAATAAACAATTGGGTACGAAGGTGACGGGACTATGTGGCAATTGGAACAACGTGGTTGAAGACGAGTTGACGTCAAGCAGGGGAATCGTTGAAACGACGTACAACTTCATCATGTCCTTCAGTAACTGCGACAAACAATCCTACAGACCCCCCGCCATCACCGATCCATGCAACTTTCCTCTCGTTGTACGTTCATACTGCAATCAATAAATAATAATTACAACGACTTTAAAAAAGTTTTGCAGGTATATAATTATCAATATCATTTTAAAACTGTTTTGTCTTAAATATATAACAATAGTTAATCAAATAATTTCTGCATTTAATTAAATATGGTTTAATTTAAAAAACCACATTTCATTAATTTCCATGCAACCTCAGGTCCAAAAGAGACAGCAAATCCAAAAACAATGCGAAAACCTCTTACTGTCAGAAACCATTGGAGCGCAGTGTTCAGGTGCAAAGCTGAGTGCCAACTACTACGAATCGTGCATGAAGGATCTTTGCGTCGGCGTCACGTCGTCCACATTCAGAAACAGTCTGCCAGAACCCAGCCAGGTTGAACTCCCCGACATTTGCTACTACTTGACGAAGAAATCTCTCGACTGTTTGGAGAATTTGTACAAAAGTGACTGGCCAGCTGTGCCTTCGCTGGACAAATTCTGTGGTACGCTCTTTGTTTATTTAGTCTAAATGTAAATATAAATGAAGCATCAATTAATTTTTATGAAATGAATAAGAAATATTTACTTACCAAATACAAATCACAGTTTTTGGATTGTTTGGCCATAATTTAAAATTAACTTTAAAAATTTTGTGTTACATATGACAATGAAGGCCAGACAAGCACCAGGTACACCTGTGACGTGAGAGACACCTCCTACGAAATATGTGGCTCTGCCATGAAGACCTGCAAGCAACTCGAGAACGAGGACTTGTATCTGTCCGTGAACGACCTCGGCAGAACATGTTTTCCAGGGTGCGCCTGCCCTGATGGCACACTTCTAGACGAAAATAGCAACTGCGTCACTAAACAGAACTGCTCCTGCTATGATAAGTTGACCGGTGTCTATTATAAGGCGGGATTTCGTGTTGAAAAGGATTGCCAATTGTGGTTTGTTTAAAACAAATGTTTTTAGAATTTACAAATTAGGAATTTGTTTGTAACGCCTTCAATATATATAAAATTTTAAATGTAAGCCCAATTTTAAAAAGTTTAATTAAATTTTGAAATGAATTAGCAAAGACTCATTCGAAGATATTTGCTATTAATGTTTCACTGCAGCACATGTCGTTCTGGCATTTGGAGATGTCAGTTCATCTCCTCCAACGTCAGCTGTCCAGCCGGTCTGGTGCACTACGAGAAGTTGATGAACTGCAACACAACGTGCGACAACTACAACAAGTGCTGGGACGTGGAGGTGACGTGTGGCGGATGTGCGTGTCCCAGTGGTACTGTGCTCCATCAGGCCAGTGTTAGTAATTCTGCTTGGTGTTGCGTTTGTTCTTCACTTATTTCTTCTTATTATTATTTGATCAGGATTTGTTGGTTTATTATTTTTAATTGTACGATTATCTAAATGTTAATAATTTTGAAATTAAATTTAGTAAGTTTTCCTGATAATTCAGATTCAATACTAGCTGATAAACAAGTGCTTAAATAGTTATTCCTCATAAACGTTGTATACATTAGCCAGACAAACTTTGGCCATCTTTGAATAAATTTATTAAGTCGACAAATGCAACCTGTGCAAAACAAACAGAGCAAATGCATCCAACTGGAATCATGTCCCTGTGAGTTTCGCGGCGAGTTCTACACTCCAATGGACGTTGTGTCTACGAGTGGTCAAATCTGGTCTGTGCTGTTCTAATATTTTTGAATCATTATTTTTAAAGTCTACATTGTACGCTGTTATGCTGAAATACATAACTAAATTGATGAAGAATGTTTTCACAAAGTTAAATATCACGTACAAGCTATAAACATATTCGCCCATCACCCAACCAACGTAGCACATACAAGCTAAAGACATTTTTGCCCATCATCCAACCAACTTAGCACATGCAAGAGCATGAGATGGGAATGTGAAGAGGATGAATTATCTCTCGCTACGTGTTCGCTCTACGGAGACATTTACTACACGGGATTCGATGGGATCCACCGGATCAATCCCGGCCAGAGAGCTTGTTCATACTATTTGGTTGACACGATAACTGGCGGAGGTGCGGAGGACATTGCGAATGGGTGCTATCCGGTTTCCATCTACACGAAGGACATTCCGTGTGGAGTGTCGGGAATCATCTGCAGTAAGGTGCGTTTTTAAATTTTATCATCACTCACCTATTTGAAAATATAATGGAGAATTTCATTTTTAAATTGTTTGTCTGCAAATCTCTTGTTAGTTAACTTAACGTGCCCACCCATTCTCATAACTTGAAACATTTGTGACTGTTAGAATTTAGCCCGAACTTTTGACCATGTTAACGACGTTTCGATAGTTTCATTTATCATCTTTATACCGCATCTGTCATACCTAATGATAAAATTTTAATAAAACGTATTATAAAATTTATAAATTGAAAATTCAATCATTCAATTAATTACTTTTGTAATTACTTAATTACTTAGTTACTTAATTAATTAATTATATAAATGTTTAATTAATTAATTATATAACAATTTAATTAATTAAAGTTTCCAATGAACAGATGCTGACAATCTTCTTCTCCAACCACAACTTAACATTGTCGCGAGGAAGGCCACCAACACTGAACAACAAGGAACTGCCCATGGAGTCTGGTCAATACAACGACCACATACTGACCATCATCGATAACCAGGTCATGTTGATGGTCTTCTTCAGAAATGGAATTTCCATTATGCATGATGGAGGTAGTACTGTTGTGTGTGTGTGTGTGTGTGTGTGTGTGTGTATGTGTGTGTGTGTGTGTGTGTGTGTGTGTGTGTGTGTGTGTAGGTGTATATATATATATTTATTCATCTCTTGTACTTTTCATCAAATTTCTTGATTTTAATGTTTAAATTATAATTCAATTTTTGATATTTCGTAAAACCAGGCTCTGATGATGACTGTATGTCGAAACAACGTTGTACTAGGATGACACACAATGATAATAAATATGAATTAAAACAGCTTCGTGTTGTCGAAATCCTTATTAAAAAATTAATTAATGCAAAATGGGCAAAAATATTTAACGATATTTGCATCAAAGAAAACCTCCTTCCAAAATATATATATTTATTTATATATATGTGTGTGTGTGTAGGTGTATATATTTATATGTGTGTGTGTGAGTGAGTGTACTGTACATGCATAGATATGTGTTTTGTGTTTAGATATATATGTGTGTGTAGATATGTGTTTGTGTGTTGATATATTAGATACTTATGTGTGTAGATATGTGTGCGTGTGAATATGTGTACGTATGAAGATATCCGTGTGTGTGTGAAATGTGTGTGTGTGTGGTGTGTGTAGTGTGTGTGGTGTGTGTGTGGTGTGTGTGTGTGAAAGAGTGACAGAGAGAGATATGTGTGCGTCAGACTTATATTATTTGGGAGGTTGTTTCAGAACATCTTTTTGGGATTGTTTGCTAACGGACGTGGCTTCAAGTGTTGTTGCTAAACAGGGATGTGCGAGAATATTTCAATATCCAGCCTCATTTCATTTCTAAATGTAAAAAAAAGAGAGCGCTTTTTAATGGTGCGCTTCATGTTAATAAAAACTTCTCCGCGATTCATTGATGATCCATAGTAATGCCACTCAAAATTTGATCATTTTCTAAATTGTTAGCCTTTGCTTTAAAAATTACTCGAAACAGTTGAATGAGCACTTGTGATTAACTTATAAGAACTTTCTTTTAAGTATTTACACGATTTGTTTGTTCTCGATTCTGTCATTTTTCTTAATTTAATCCATTACCGACTGAGGTTTAAATTTTTTTTAATCCATTTCGACAGGAACCAGAATATACATCAGCCTGCCGAACTGCTACAAGGATCGCGTGAATGGGATGTGTGGGAGGTACAGAGATCCCAAGATGAGTGGAGACGGAGCTGGGACTTGGCTTCCCGTAGATGGTGACGAAAACGTTGATGAAAGATTGTCTGCATGGAAAGTGGATCCCAATTGTCCGGAGCCTACTAAATTCATTCTGCCCCACTGCGATGTTTGTTACATTCCAATGTTGACTTTATTCTTAGGGCCTCTCTTTGTTTGCTGTTTCTGCTGTATAACAATTTTTTTTTTCAATTTCATGGCAGACTGTTAGAATGCTGTTATTCATTGTTATGAAGTTAAATTATAGTAGAATTATATGGGTTTTCATTCAAAGTTTACTGACTATACATCATAAAAGTAGGTTTACGAATTGGTAGATGACATTAAGCGTGCCTGATTATACATAGTTCAGGTTATTTAATATGTAGGTCAGGTTATTTAATATTTAGGTCAGGTTATTTAATATGTAGGTCAGGTTATTTAATATGTGAGTCAGATTATTTAATATATAGGTCAGGTAATTTAATATGCTGGCCAGGTCACTTAATATGTAGTTCTGGTTATTTACCATGTAGGTAGGCTATCCAATATGTGTGTTAGGATACTTAATATGTAGGTCAGGTTATTCGATATGTAGGTCAGGTTAGTTAATATGCCGATCGGGTTATTTAATGCGTAGGTCAGGATATTCAATATGTAGGTCGGGTTGTTTAATAATAACGCAGCATGACCCAGAAAAAATGTTGTGGGCCACCTCGACCTGCAGTATCATAACTGAGGGGCTGGTGTTTGAAGAGTGCCGAAGACTGGTCGACTTTGAGGATTATTACGCTCAGTGCATTGCTCTTTCTTGCAGGTTCAGTGGCAGTTGTGTATTGTGCCAGTGGCAGTTGTGTGTTGTGCCAGTGGCAGTTGTGTGTTGTGCCAGTGGCAGTTGTGTGTTGTGTCAGTTTTTAACTTGTGTTTCTGCTTGATTGGTGGAAAAATTGTTCAAAAGTCAGATATTTTAGATGAAAATTATCAATCCCATTGATGAAACTCAAATAAGACGACTGTCTTAACAGCTGTGAGGTTGGCCACAGTTGCGAGTGTACGTGTACCGCCATATCGAACTTCGCAAAAGTTTGCGCCGGACATGATGTCTGTGTGGACTGGAGAAGCACCCACCTCTGTCGTACGTTCTCGCGCGTTCATACCGCGTGGCTTTAATTTGTTCAAATGTGAAACATTTTCAATTTTATCTCATTTTTATTCAATTTCTTTAAAAAAAAATCAAAAAACTGTTAATTTCTTGTTGTTTGTCAGATTTAATTTCAATGTTCCATCGATGGTTTTTTTTGTTTTTATTCTTTAATTTTGTTTTTATGTCGCATATTATTTCAACCAGGTTTAAAAGAATTTAATTTTTAGCATATCTTTCACTAAGTATATCTAAATAGGTACTTGACATAAACAATCACGTAGCCAGCAATCCATCTAACAATATCATTCAAAATTAACATAAAACAACCAACCTTACAGCCGTGATGTGCCCAGACAATCAGATGTTCAAGCCTTGTGGCAATGTTTCAAAAGAGAACTGCATGATGAGGGGGGTTCACGAAGGGCTGTACAAGGGGGCGGTCGTTCAAGAAGGGTGCTACTGCCCTGATGACCTTCTAAAAAATTGTTCGTTTCAACTTTTCTATACAATTATTTACATCTCCTACATTCTCTTTCTTAGTCTCACTTTCTTTCTCTCTTTTCTCTCTCTTTTTCTCTCCTTATATTTATATAATCACAATGTAGCGGTAGGAGAATGCGTGCCAGTGGACGCGTGTGAATGCCTATACGACGACACCTCCATTCCAACCAACAGCTCAGCCAGCATCGGCTGCAAGACATGGTATTTCTATTCTTCCTCGTTTCAAGAATTAAACTTATGCGAAATTGTACGTGTACAGATAGGTGTACAGATAGGTGTACAGATACGCCGGCGCATCACACACGTCGAATCGTGATATTATTGCGATCGAACCATGCTATTGCAATACTTATCAATCATTATTCCATTTTTCGCGCACTAATTTGAAATACAAACTACATTTATAACTTCGTTAACGATTAAAGTTTAATGTAAGAATAAAATTTTACATTAAATTAGCTTGTGTCGCAATAGCAGATATAGTAAGCAATGTTTCTCATCGCTGAAACATAAATGAGGCGACAAAAATAAGTAATATTGAATGAAATTAATAGGAAACAATTTTATGTACGGTTGTTTTCTACGGCACATCACTGCAGCACTTGCACGAATGGTTCTCTGGAATGCACAAGCGACAACTGTCCAGCATGTTCTGATGGTGAGATCCTGTGTGATGAGTTTGAGGGGGAGGAGGAGGTCTGCGTTGGAGTGCAGTTTCTGTGCGATGGAGTGCCAGACTGTCTGGATGGGAGTGATGAAATCAACTGCACAAGTTTGTTCGAATGTGTGGTTCATTGCCTGTGTGGTTGCGCGTGGTTCATTATTTATTTACGTGGTTGTTGAAATGATTTGAAAGCTCAGTTCGGCGAAATTATTAAACACTCGTATGCAATTATTGAATAAAATTTGAATCCATCCCACGATCCACCACAGTGGATGTTGTCTGTAAGTTCGGTCAGTTGAAATGCCGCCATACAGACCAGTGCATTGGTGTGAACCTATTATGCGATGGCTACAACGACTGCTCGGATGGCAGTGATGAGATGCCTTGTGGTTAGTTGGGGAGTTTGTGCACGGTTCGTCGGTTCGTTCGTTTGTTCGTCGTGTTCATGCTTCACAAATTTTTTTGTAGTTTCTCTTTGTGAAATAACAAAAGAAGTTTTTTCTCGTGGTACGTTGTTAATTTTGCCCTTCATTCCCGAAAATTTCATTATCAGTTATTTGTACAAATAATTTTAAGAGCTGTCTATTTACTTTTGAAAAGTTAAAAATCTCAAGGTTTCAAAAAAAGTTGTACTCATTGTCAATTAATTTTTACTTTTTTTAATAAAATTTGGGTCTTCAGGCACTTCAAACTGCAATATAGTCTCTCTAATAAGTGAAGGTTATGGCTGGGTGACCACGGACCCGCCCATCAAACCAGCCACCAACTTTCCCAACTTCCCTTACGTCTTCCAACCTGGAGTCCTACCAAAATTTGTCGTCAAATTCGATTTAGAGAGAGAAATTGTTGAAGTTTTTGCCGATGTGGCCAACGTGGCTCGAGTCCTGCTGGTGGTGAATGATGAAAAGGTGGAAATGGTTGCTAAGGATGGCGATGGAAAGGTTAGTCTCAAAGGCTGTCTATTTTTATTTTTATTTATTTTGGAGAATAAAATATTTTTTTATTTGATTAAATTTAATTAATATACAATTCAATTTATTTGGTTTCAATCTTTAAATAAATATATTTAACTAATAAAAATGGCTGAAAGTAGATACACAGTTAACTCGCATGATGACTACTCAAATGTAAATAATTATTGCAAATAATTTTGAATAGCAAAAATTTGTTACATAATTTATCGTAATTATACCATAATTATTATAATTATACCATAATTATATGATGGCGATCAGTACCACCAGACCATCTTATCAACTGGAGACACAGCCATGGTGACCTTCATTCCGAATGACCTTAAGGTCAATGTCACAATTGGCACCATAGAGTTTTTTGCCTGTCTCAAAAGTATGTTGAAACTGCTAAATAGGTTTGGATGTACAACTTGCATGATTTGATGCGTGCTATGTACCTATTCAAACTGTTCAGTCGTTATGATTTGTCATCTTGTGTATGCAAAAATACGTGAATAAACACATCACACACAATAAGAAGTCAGAAGTTGTCCATTTCAATTCACACTAATTATTTTCAATTTTCGTCTATAAATTAATTTTGACTCGCAAACGAATAATTTTTCCAGCCGGTACCCCTTCGCCGAAATGCAAGTTACCGAAGCTGGCCAAATCATCAGACTTCGCCCTGTCAACTATGCCTACCACTCAATTCAACACAACTGCGGGAGCAGATGGGCTCACATTTCCCAGCCTGTACAGGAATGTTACTCTGGAGTTTAGCTTCCATTCGATGCAAACTTTTGTCCGGTTGGAACTTCAGAGTGAAAATGTGGCGCTGTTTGAAGTTGTTGTGGTCGACGATGGGTCTGGTAGAATTGCCTTTGATAAGACTTTTTTTATGGAGGTGAATTTCCTGAGTTAAACTACCTCAAATAAATTTTGATTGTAATTATGATTTTTCCAAATTTTGAAATCTGATTTTGTTTAAAACATCATTAAAAATCAAAAAATGTGTCTAGATTTATAGAATGATTATAATGATACTCTTACATTTATGAAATGATATCAATGATTATGAAAAATTCTCAAACCTTGCATGCAGTCGAACCTGGAACTTGCGCATATCAGAGGAACAAAAGTGCGGATGACCATGTACGCTCTTAATCCTGATAATTCGGTTGTGGTCCGTGCCATCAACATCTTCCTCTGTGAAGGTTTTTTTCTTTAATTTTCTTCTATTTATTAAGTCAGATAAAATTAAAATGAAAAAAACTGAATAATTTGAAAAAAGTTTAAAAATTATTTAAATTAATAATTATTGATAAAAATCGTGATATAATAAAAAATTAAATTGGGGTACGTAAAATTGAATGGATTTTTCAACTCGTTATAAGACAGGTGACTATTTTTTAAAAGATTTTTTAGTTCATAGAATAAGCAACGACATAAGTAAAACCTTTAAAAAAATCTTCACCCATCTAGCATCGAGCTAAAAAAAGTTCTTCATTTCATATTGGATGACGTCATTTTATTCGTTATAATTGTTTGTATTATTTAATTTTATTTCAAAATTCAAAATTGAGATGCATATAATTATCATGAATTAAGACGCGTTGGGAACATCAACTCTGCCTAGCATACGTTTCACGGGCAAAGAAGGTTTCAATTATCTGATTTAATTTTTTTTTTCAAATTTGAATTATAAATAAAATGTTCGCTGGTAATATTAAATAGGTTATTTTAATTTGCCATTAAATGTAATCTCGCTAACCACTTAATTTTCAATAAATTTTTAATTTAAAAAATAATTTCCATCCTCATTAAACATTTGCATGCAAAACATTTCATCAAGGGCCGGTTACTGGAGCCCCTCCGTCGAACATCAAATGGACGGTAACAAAGAAGCGACCGATTGAAGCCCGCGTCAGTACCGCAGAATCGTCAACTGCCTCACCAACTACCATTTTTCCAACAACCACCACTCCCTTCATGTTCGGAATGTTTCTTAACGGCACAGAAACCACAACCCTTCCCAAATCAACACCATCCAGTCCCACCGCGCCAACCTCTGCACTTCCATTCCCACCATTATCCATAAAGATGACCATCACAACCAAGAGGTACATTTCGAGCCACACAAGCACCACAGAAGCACCCACAGAGTCAAGTTCTACCATACCAACAACTAAATTTATATTTGGGCTGATACCTCAGGGCTCTCTAACCACACGTGTATCTCATTTTATACCGGGTTAATTTTAAACCTTGTTGGTCATTTTTAAGTTTGTTTAAATTTATACCTAAAAAATCTTTTTAAAATGCAATCCGTTGGTCAGTTCAACTTTTCGATGTGGTTTTTTTTATTTTTTTTTGAGTGGCTTCAATATTATCAAAATTTTAGAGAGCTAAATTTCTTGTTCAAAAGTTTGGTTATATGATAATGTAAAGTTATCGGTACCAATATTAATTATTTCCCTGAATCTATTCCGTTTGAAACACTCCACAGATCAATCAGCAACAGTTAGAACTACGCCAATGCCAAAAGGTCTCATCTCATTTCATTTAATTGAATCCAATTTCCAATATTTATATTCAAGTTTGTGTTTGAATAGAAATTAAACGAAAATGACATCTCATTGACGAATAAAATAATCATTTTATAATAGATAGAACTTATATCTCCAAAAAATCTTGCCCAACTAAACATTATATTTCCTTTTAATTTAAATCAGAGCAGTGTAAAGAAACCTATCTACTCGAAAATGGATACGCCATGTTGATATTTGAAGACCAGAACATAAACTTGCCATACATTCACAGCAGTTCAACAACCACCGATAGCCACAACGACAATGAGAATGACATCAAAAACATTGATAACATCAACGACAACAACAACATTAATGACATCTCTACCAACACCATTAATGACACCACCACCACCAACAACAACAATAGCAGTGACTTCATTTATGCGACCAACACGTGGAACATTACAATTAAAATGTTTTCCACTTGGTACATTACGGAAGTTAGGCTGGCAGCCGTGCACGTAGCGAATGTTCATGTCTACGTACCTTACGAAGCAAGGGCACTGTATGGAGAGTGCACTAAACTGGATGAGGTGTGATGTTTGTCGTGTTTACTTGCTGTGCTTATAATGTTTGTATGTTGTAATATACACGGTATGTTGTAATTTTAGATGACTGTGTTTTCATAAGTTGGAGCCTTTATGTTAATGTTTTATTCAGGAATGTTTCAAGTTCTGGAAAATCCTAAATAGCTTATTGATGCTATAAAACGTTTATATGAATAAACTGAAATAGTTAACTTAGCTAACTAATTTGCAATTTTTATGGTACTGTCGATTATCAATTAACTTAAATATATATTACAAATTTTCATTTTTCGAACGAAACTTTTCAAAAAATGTCATTTCATACCCGACGACAAGTTGATCGAGTTCACTTCCAATCCAAACCTGGTGACAGACACAATGTTCCTCATCCTGCAATCCAACACATCATCATCATCTTCATCATCATCGTCGTCGTCATTCATTCTTCTTTCGCTACTTGTGTTGGCCTGTGAGAAACGTAAATGATTTTTTTTTTATTCCCAGTGTTTTTTTATGACGAAATATTTGGAATCTAAACGTAATTATTATTAATCCGATTGAAACTCCTAATGTCCAGAGTGTGTGATTGCATGTGTCTGCATAAAAATGTGTGTGTGTCCTTCCCAATTTTTAATTAGTTTTCAGCCGAAATGCAACCATGGGGGAACTTTGAGACTGAAGCTCACCCATGTTTGTCAATTTTGTTAGGGTTAAAGTTTTATTTACAAATTCCCTATATAGATAGTTGGGATTTCGGTATTAAAAATGCTACAATCTCTTAAAAAACAACAATTTATGACAAATGTGAATGAAATAATACAAGTTTCTGTATGGAAATCATAAAAAAATGTGGATTTTTTTAAAAAATTATAAAATTTTTTACTAAAAAAAACACTGCCCCCCTAAAAAACTTTTAGTTACGGCACTAATTTCCAAGGTGCACAGAATAATATTTATAATTGGTTTCCATCCACCTTAACAGGCTTTGACGAATCACCTTGGTCGATGATTGAACCAGGATCTGGTAAAAAAAACTGTCTTAATTTTCAATTTGACATTAAAATTCTTTTAACGAAATTTTTTTCGGGAAATATCTGTTGGTCATTTGTTCATAGGCAGAGTGGTCAGTGGTCAGAGCGCTAGGTTTGTGTTGTAGTGATCTTGTTCGACTGCAATGTGGTCTCTACTTATTAATCAATTTCTTGATGTAAAATGATACAATGATTCATTCATAAAGCGTGTGATTTCGAGCCAATTTTTGAATTCCTAAAAAATAATGTAATCTCTATATGTAAGATGGATGAATGTTTGACTAGACATAGCTGCCTACAAGAGCGTCTGTGTGGTACAACCCTTCATTCCCTTGTTGGAGAGGCCTTGGTCTACGTGTTTCATTGAGAAGGATAATCAGGTATGTAGGATGGAAAAATTTGTATACAATCTCAGGTAATTTAAATTATTCAATCAGTAATTAAGCTGAAGTGTTTCTTATTTTAATATATATACAATTTATTTTAAATTTAATAATTTTTAGATAAAAATTCCCATGAATGATGTGAAAATGAATTAATTTCAAAAGTTTGGTCTGACGAGTGCAAGCGAAGGATGTGCTGTTGGAGATGTCATCGAGCAGGAAGTTGAGGTCATCATGGATTGTGTGTCTTGGTTCGTTCTGTCTTCTTCTTTCGTTTCATAGTGTGAAGTGTGATAAAAGAAACAATATACAAATGAAGATTTTCAATGTTGCGTTATTTTTACAAACCTTAAAAAATTTATTAATTAAAAAAGTTTAACGAACATTCGAAAATTCATTTCTTCATTCTAGCTTTTGTGCCTACGGCTCTTTCATATGCAAGGTTCGAGAATACGAAATGATTGATCTGTTTTGAATTCAAATTAAATGTTTTAATAAAATTGGTTATGAAGATTGTTAAAATATTTTTGACAAGCTTGAACATCATGAGTACAGATTCCATGAATATTTGAATTAAATTTCGAATAGAACATAACTGGATCTTATTATGACATTGAAGAGCCATGCTTTGTGAAGTCATGTGACGATGGAGTTGTGATGAAAAAACCAATTAACGAACCATGCCAATGTTCTCCTGTTAGTTTTAGCTTGGAACCAATTAATGATAATAATGAAAATAATTTGATGAATGGATTAATAATAAATAATGCAACAATATTAACGCCACTAGATCAACATAGTAGTAATAATGATTTAAGCTAGAATTGATTGAAATATCATTCTTTAAGATTAATTTTAAATTTTTTGATTTGATTCAAATTTTGATGGAAATCATATAAATTTCAGGGTAACATATCCTTCCTATTGTCCAATTGCACGTGTGTGTGTTTGCCTGCTGTCACAACATTAGGTTATATTTTTGCTTGCACTGTTGGCAATAGTTGAAATATTTAATTACATTTAATACATGATTTACTCTTTTATGTCTAAATTTTTATCATTTTAAGAAACTTTGAATACTTTGATGTTTGTTTTTGCGGCTGATTTTAATAAGTGACAAATATTCTACGAAATCAACTGCATACATAGCAAAAATTTCAAATAATTCTAATTACTGTACTAAAATGTGAAATCGTATTTTCAGAGTAGACAAATTTTTAAAACTTAATTTTTCTCTTCAATTCCGAAAACGAATTAAATTAAAAATCACAAACTGAAGGCACAAAATCAGCAGTTGGAGATGAGGGGACTTCATCCGAGCCAACCTCCACGAAAGATTCCGACATAGACTCGTATCCAGCCGGCACATGTTCACCGGTCAGTGTCAATCTAACGCTGACCACTGAAGAATTAACGGCGCTGGCGTGTCCGAGAGATGGAAATGTAACACTTCCCGTGAGAGTGTGTCAGGGAGCGTGTGATAGTGCTTCTTTCTCTTTTCATCTACAGAAGGTTTGTCAACACGTCTTCGACGGTTTTATATTTGCAGTTTATTTATCATGAAATAAACTTTGACGCAATTCGAAGTATGTCAAGGGCCGGCTTTAGGCATAGGCAAACCAGGCAGTTGCCTAGGGCCTCCAATTTTCAGGGACCTCGCAATGCAGATTGAAACAACTTTTTTTAGAAACCCTACTCAGTTTTATTTTTAATTAATCGCAGTATTATACAGCAAGAATTTGTCATAAAAAAAAACGTACTCAGGTTGAAATATTTTTAAATGTATAAAGTTTTCTTGTGCACATTTTTAAAAAATGCCACTTGAGGCCACCAAATTTTCTTTGCCTAGGGCCTCCAGCTTCCTAATAACATACTATGTTATTTATATTATACACCAAGTAACGGCTTAGAAATCGGTTCAAAACGCCAATATAATATGAAATGTCATTAGCACCACGCTTCAAATTTGGTGTACTTTTATTAATAATTTTGTTAGAATGAAGTCATGCTCGTTTTGAAATAATCTTATATTGCCGGTTATTCAAATTGATTTAAGAAACTCGGAACTAAATTTATAATTTTTATTATCGGATATAACACAAACTTTTAAAATTGCAATTGTTTGTTTAAATGTTGTAATTATTTTTCAAACACACGACGACAAAGACTGAAGAGTCAAAAAGAATTTTCATAGCTCATGAATCCAACAACTTTTGCTATTGCTGTCATGGATCTGATAACGTGGAGGAAGTCATCCACGAAGTTGAGTGTGGAGGCAAAGAAGTTGAAATAGCCATCACCCAATATTCATCCTGCACCTGTCAGGTCATAGAATGTGATCAGAAATGACAAAAAGCCAGATATTTCACAAAGTTCTTCACTCTGATACAAAAATCTGTTTACTAACACAATTAAATTGAAATAAATTCAATGATCACATCAGTATAAATATTTTAAAATGTTTTTTCGAACTGTAAAAATGGCTGTCAATATATATATACATAATTCAGGATACAAGCATATTTGAAGTTTTCAATTTATACAAAAGTAAAAAATTGTAATAAACTGTTGTAAAAAATAATGAGCGATTAATTAAATGATTCCAAATTGCTGGCTTCCAAGGGAAAGTGTATTTTGTCCATGGTTTCATCAATCTTATCTTGAAGAGCCTTTACAAATCTGGAGTCGATGAAGAGATGCGAGTCGTCCAAATCACTGAGAACAAATGTTTCACCCAGAGCCTTTGTTTCATTCAACTTCAGCAATAACTGTTTCATGGGTGGGTCACTATTAGAAAAAAAATCAATTAAATTTATTAAATAAGATTGAATTATTATTTAAATTCCAAAATGAAAAAAAAGGACCAGCACTGAATTTTAATCAAATATCTAAGCCTGCTTTTTAAAATAAATTGAATAAAACTTAATAATAAAGTTCACTCACAGCTATTATAAACATAAAATAAAAAATAAAGTATCTGAAAATAATTATTGACAAGATTGGTGCTAATGGTGGGATAGAGATGTGGAATCCGCGGTCACACACGGACCTTTAGAGAAGGTGACGATGGAGGAAGTAGAGAAAGCAGTTAGAGAAATGAAACTAGGTAATGTGACAGGGGTTTCGGAAGTGGCGACAGAACATATAAAAGCGAGTGGAGTGATAGGAATTGAAGTTATGATGAGAATTGCTAACAGTATGTTTGATGATGAAGGTATACCTGAGGATTGGCGACACAGTGTTTTGGTGCCGTTGTATAAGGGCAAAGGAGATGTGAGAGATTGTGGGTCATATAGGGGTGTGAAATTACTAGAGCACGGAATGAAGGTAGTGGAGAGGGTGCTTGAGAGGAGGTTGAGAAGTATGGTGACAGTTAATGAAATGCAGTGTGGGTTTATGCCTGGTAGGGGAACGGTGGATGCGTTGTTCATGGTGAGAATGTTGCACGAGAATTATAGAAAGAAGAAACGAAGATTGTACATGTGTTTTGTGGATCTAGAAAAGGCTTTTGATCGAGTACCGAGGAAGGTCATTGAATGGGCGTTGAGGAAGAAAGGAGTGAATGAGAGACTTGTTAAAGCTGTGATGCAACTGTATGAAGGGGCAAAGACAAAGGTGAGGGTTGGAAGGGGGATGTCGGACGCTTTCGCTTTTAGTGTTAAGGTAGGAGTGCATCAAGGATCAGTGTTATCACCGTTTCTGTTTGCAATTGTGATGGATGTTGTGTGTGGAAACATAATGGAAGGGTTGTTATTTGAGATTTTGTATGCAGATGATTTAGTCTTGATGGCTGATAGCATGGAAGAATTGCAGTTAAAATTTGACAGATGGAAAAGTGTTATTGAAAAGAAAGGGTTAAAAGTTAATATTGGTAAGATGAAGGTAATGGTGAGTGGGGAAGGTGGGGAGCGAGTGATAAGTAAAATAGACCCCTGTGGGGTATGTGACAGGAGAGTGAAGGCTAACTCGGTATTGTTTATAGGATGTCAGAAATGGGTGCATAAGAGATGTAGTGGTGTGAAGGGGGCATTGAAAAAGGTGGAAGGCACGTTCAAATGTAAGAAATGTGTTCATGGTGTGATTAATAGGACGGACGCAAGGACGGGTTTGAGTGGTGGTATTGAAAGAGTGGAAAGCTTTGTTTACTTAGGGGATAAGCTGAATGCGAATGGAGGATGTTTGAGCGCAGTTACGGCTAGAGTTCGTGTAGGATGGATGAAATTTAGGGAACTGGGTGGGGTATTGTGTGGAAAGAAATGGTCAGTGAAGATGAAAGGGAGGGTATATAAAGCATATGTGAAAGCAGCGATGGTATATGGTGGTGAAACTTGGGTGTTGAGGAGAGAGGAGGAAAGTGTAATGCAGAGGGCTGAAAGAGCTATGGTGAGGATGATGTGTGGGGTTAAAGTGAAGGATAGGAGGAGTAGTACAGAGCTGATGTCAATGATGGGACTGAATGAGGACATTGTGACATTGATAAGGAGATCGAGATTGCGGTGGTATGGACATGTGTTGAGAAGGGATGAAAGGGTCGGGATTAAGTGAGCGTTGGAGTTCGAGGTTGAAGGAGTGGTAGGAAGGGGTCGTCTGCGATTGGGATGGAGAGAGCAGGTGGAGAAGGACAGGGTGAAAGCGGGGTTGCGTGATACTGAGGTGAGTGACAGATGTGGATGGCGTCGAGGGGTATTTCGGTTTCATCATAGGTAGCCAAACGGCAACCCCCGATCTCGGGGAAAATGCCGTCTAAACGTGTGTTGTTGTTGTTTAAGATTGGTGCTAATAAAATCAGAATTAATGTAGTACAAATAATTATAATATATTAAATAAATATAAAAATAAAAATAGACTACTGGCAAGCTGGCAATTGCTGGTTCGTTAAAGTTAACGTTACAAGACGTTAGATATTTGTTAAACAATTTGTAAATATTTAATTAATTTTTAATTTTATTTTTTAATTTAAATTATTAAAAATTAAATTAATTAAAATATGAAAACCAGCCAACCATTCGACGAGAACTCCCTTCAGAACGTACACCATCTTAGAAGCAAGAGAACAGAAAACTAGTAAGAGATGTTAGTCAAATAATTAAGAACACGGAAAACAGTTCAACTTAATTTATTTCATACAGACCTGGTTACCGTCCGTTCGTGCCTTGTTTACAATTTGTAAAATCAAAACCATAGATTCAAAAATATAGTTTTTGACATGGACATAATATATCCATGGTTTTACATATATAATGAAAACGCTTCACTGTTTTGGGTGTTTTTTTAATTTTATCAAATACTGAATTAAATATGAATAGTTATAAGAATTTTTTAAAAATTACTTTCTGATTAATTTTTGAGAAAAAATAAGGCAAAACAATCAGCTCACTTTGGAAATTCAAGAATTGCGTTGATTGCAAACAATTTTATTAAGAAAAACGCAGTTGAAACCAAGGGGAGGCCTATTTACCAGCATACAACACCTTCTTATGGGTTGAAGTAGGGATATGCAAAGAACCTCAATTTTTTCAACTTTTAATTATTTTCAGTAATGTCTCCCCTTGCTCCAAACCACATAACTAGAATAATAGGACTAATCGATCAATTCGATCTATCAGTCGGGCTATTTGTCGTGCTTGGATTGTTGGCTTACGAAATTGCATGGATTTTAACGAGCAAGCTAAATGAAATATTTACTTGATTTAATACGCTAAAAACATTGTAGTCATTCTATTTAATTTTAATAATGATTAATAGAATTATGTATTATTAAATTATTTTTGTTAATTTGAATATAAAAATTGCTTTTGGTCCGGTGAAATCTGGTGGCTTACTGAAGCCGAAGGTTGGCTTAGTAGGATTGAACTATAGTCACCCTTTTTTATATATATTTATAATAAAAATTCATTATAAAAGCAACAGTAATCAGTGCTATATATGTAAGCACGCAGTTCAAATTTTTCGGGAAGAATTCAAAATAGTTTAAGACCACAACTTGCTTAACATCCGATTCCAAGCCGAGCCAAGCCGAGCCAATATGTGTAGATTTATAAGCGCTTTTATATTAAAATTTTGCTCGCTTTTTAAACGAATATCCCAATATAACAAATTCTCCATCCTATTTTAACTTTCTTTGATGCTTTTTAATCAGTCAGGTCACAAAAATCTTTATCGATATCGCAATGAGATCAATTTGAAATTTTTTTTAATTATTGATAAAATTTTTAAATTGTTGATAAAAATAACTAGTACTAGTATATATAGTGTTGTAAAACGTTTAAAATTTTCTGAGAGAATTCAAAATAATTTGAGACTACACCATAACACAATTGTACAATTTGAATGTGTAAATACAACATTATAAATGCATTATAACTACGTGTATATATCTATTTCTTTATTTAGTTCTGCCTGTGTATGATACTTTGTCAAATTTATTTGATAGGAATCGAATATATTTTTTATACCGGCTGATTAACTACCATGCAGTAAAATAACTACTGTTGACACCATTTCCTCCAACGATTTCGCAAACGAATTGCCCATACCATATAAATAGAATAAACTCTTTCAATCAATGTTTAAATTTTTATATTGTCATTTATTCTTTCGTTTTTGTTTCTGTACTAATTTTCGTGTCAGATACAATAATTTAGTTTTTAAGTAAATTTTCATTTTCGTAGTTTTACACAAACATGCCCACCTGTCGCATTAAAAATTGCATTAAAAATAAATAGAAATAAGAAAATTTCTGATGCATCTTTTCACAGGTTTATTTTCAAATTAACTTCACACTAAAATAAATGTAACAATATCCCTATACTCATTGAATAGAACTATTTTGTTTTACAATTACATATATTTTATTTTATAGACTATTATAATTTATAATGCTATCATGGATTACCATTTTATTATTAATAAAAGCAATACTTAAGAAATGCACAAGTTTCTGTAACAGTTTATAAAATTTCAGATTTCCTCAAAATGTAAAAATGCAAAACAATTGGATTAAGTGCATCAGACAGGAAATAAATGATTTCAAATGGCTTCCATCAAAAAATGCAAGAATATGCAGTGACCATTTCTGTAATAAAGATTATAAGGGTTATGATGGAGAAAGAAAGGTAATGCTGAAGAAAAGCATTCCCATGTTTTCAAGTTAGTTATATTTATGTCATCAGTTACACAAGGAAGCAATTCACATCCTCATTGTACATTGCAACATTCTTATATATATACAAAAAATATAAAATGCATTCAACAATACTCCATGTATTTTATTAAAACTTAGAAAGGGCATAATGACATTGTGAATAATAAACCCTGCTTAGGACTGGGATCATCATCATCATCATACCAATCACCATTACAAGTAGAGTCAATTTTATATTAATGCTTAACAAGTTAACTAAATTGGCATAATCAAGTTTTTATATGAAATACACATCAAGTATTTAATGTAACAAATAAATTAACAGAAAAATTTCTGGAAAAGTTTAAAAAAATTAGAACATATGACTCTGATCAAAAATCATTCGCGTTGACACTGCATTTGTATGGGCATAAGGCATATGATTATCTTTGGACAAATGGCTTACATCTTCCTCACACTAGGACATTAAGAAAGTAATCTTGTCATACCTGTTCAATAATTTTAATAAGATTGTTTTAAATAACTATTCTCAATGTCATTTTATTAACACTACATTAAAAGGTGGCTACAAAACATTGATGGTATGCCTGGGGTGATTTCTACAAACCTTATTGACTAATAGTGATGGGGATCCTCTGGAACTGTAGGATCATGACATTCAATCTAGTCATGGATTGAGAAATCAATTCTTGATATATTTGATAACAAACATTTATTATAATATAAGAATGAAAAAAAGATGTAGGTGTAAGGCAAAATCTTACTGGAAGCAAGTTTAGCAAATTAATATTCTATTTTAGCAATTTATGATTTATTTTTTTATTTATGACTTTATCCATTTTCAATGATACCGATATTTTTAATTATTATTATCCAAGTTATACTCATGCCTATATAAATTAATTTGATTGTGCTATTTCTATGCTTAATTATTTTATTTACTTGCCATAGGTATGCACAGCATTTAATAAATTAATAATAATTAATAACACAAAATTCTAAGTGCATAAAATATAATAAATTAAAAGTACAATTTTTTACAAACCTCATTGGTTATGGTGATGGGGATTCTTTAAAACTGAATGATCATGATCTAACAAGTCATGGATTGATGAATCACTGGAATCACACATTATCTTTAATAAATTTAATAACAACATGTACTACAATTTAAGAATTTTTATTCCCAGACCTAAGCATTGTAAATAAAAATTTTAAAACCAATCAAGCAATAGAATTTAGGATCTTAGGAACAAGTGCTGTTAGTCGTTAGTGTAGTAGTAGTATGTAGTAGTATAGTCATAACGGATATCAAGCTGTTGAAGGATCGTTACTCTACTTGAATGACACCATTTAGCCGTTTTTCAAATAAATAATGTATAACTTTGTTAATGTAGAAAAATTTTCTGTTTAATTTTTTAAAGTAACAGTTATTAATAATTAATTTTGATAGTTAGCTGTCATTCGGTAATTTCAAGAAGCGCTGTCATGAAGGCTTTGAGACTGAAAGTTTGCAACAGCGGAAAATTAAGTTTGGGTTCACGCCAATTTGAACAAAATCTGAAAACTCTTCCAGCAAAATCTACAACAAAAAATTTTTTTCAATGGCATAATTGACTGAAAATTTTTTGTCTGAAAATAATCGTTAAAGTGAGTACTATCACTTATTTACAAGTTCTTTACTCTGTTAAATAACTCGCTCCTGCTAAAAATAATTTCCTGCCACACAATAAACTTTTAGATAGAATATATTTTGTTAGAACTGAAACTTTGTTATGGCCCAGCTTGGATTATACCTCTGTTCATACATATTACAAACAACATTTGATTTTTTAGCTTATAGTTATAATATTTATAATTTATATACTTACAGTTTATTTTTTTTAAGCACCTTCAGTAGTGATGAATTTATCGGCAGTTCTCAGAAAAATAGCTTTGCGGTTATGGTGAAATCATAAACGTTTTCTCTAAAAAATTTTAAATTCTGAATTTTTGAAAACTTTCATTTAATTTACTTTTTTTGATTTTTTTTTCACAAACAGTGAATTTAATGATTCAGCTAACGTTATTATTTTCAACCCATTTTATATACTACGTACATTTCACGGTAAAGGTTGAGTTGGCATGACATTTCCAAGTTATTCATAGATGACATTTTTAACTAAATAGCTACAATTACAAATATAATTAAGAGCATTTAATAATTAAAGTATGCAACCAAAAATGTTTTTATAACTATGCCATATTAAAAGAAATAAAATTCACAAAAGCTATTACCAGAAACAAAAAACAACATTTGGTTGAATTAAAATATTCGTTTTGGTTTTTCAACCAGAACTTTTGTCAAACCAGCGTCACAGTATTTCTCGTAAAGTATATGGCAAAGCTACAAATAAAAACATCCATCTCAATGATTGAGGAAATGTCAAAATTTGTATCTGACCTAAACAAACATTCGCTTATTTCATCATATATGATAAAATACGAACAAAAAAAATCTTTAAAAAAATTTCCTCGTCAATAAGTTTATGTTTAAGAAACTTTCTAAATAAATGCGGTATACATATAAAATGTATATTGCATTGAAAAATAATAATTAAATGTAATCCTATTCACCATGCCATACGCAAACAACGCGAACACTTTAGCGAAAGGTTTAAGCAAAATCATCAACGAAGACAGCAGTAACAACAACAACAATAATCACGGCTTCAGAACAAATTGTGTAAACACGCGCGAACCAACGCATCACTCTCTTTGCATGTAAAAGGCGGGGACTTATTTACATTGAAACCCACACACTGCATCAACAGTTCTAGCTACCTTTCAACTGTTACTGATAGTTTTTTGATGTCAAAACAAATTTTATCACTAATGTCATTTTTAGCAATAGCAGGTTGGATGAGACAACAAAATCCATCCAATAGTTTAACAGAGTCATCACAAACGCACTTCCGGTTTGTAAATTCATTAAAATTTGCGTGAAATATTCCGGTAAATTGGCATTATAATTACTCTTACATGGACAACATTTAACACCAAAGAGAGCAGATTTTAAACCTATGCCTCTTGTCGTTTTAACATTGTCGTCAGCCTTGGTCTGCCAAAACGAGAATAAGGTTAATAATGACCGAAACTAGGTATCTTCACTCAAAGTTTAAGCAAAGCCGTGTGAAACTTTCAGCAAACCTCTAATGTTTTGAAGTTCTAGTCAGACTACAGAAACTGATGAATTAAAAAAAATAAAATATTGAAAACAAAGCAACGAATACGATTATTATTAATCCGGAAAAATTTTTTTAAACCTTTCTTGAACATCCGTCGATCCATGCTGCTGAATCTTTTCAGGTCTCTTAAGTATTCATTCTTTTAGTATAGCAGTAATAGTCATTATAGTAACAGTCATCATTAACGTACATCTTTATTTTATTTTATTTAGAAGTATATTAAGTGAGTGTGTGTATTTCATTTAGAAGTATATAAGTGAGTGTGTGTGTGTTTATTTCTGTTTTTGAAAAGTCCTCATATATAATGATATTATAATAACATTTTATTTAATTTAGATATGGGCATATGTTTTTCGCGCCCATCATTTCTTTATGTTTATGTTTTATAGAAATAATGCCGCTTATTTCCAACAGTGCTAAGACCACTGTTGGAAAAATTAGTAGTAGCTGTAGCAGTAGTAGTGGTAGTAATAATAATAATAATAATAATAGTAGTAGTAGTAGTAGTAGTAGTAGTAGTAGTAGTAGTAGTAGTAGTAGTAGTAGTGATGATGTAAGTTATTAAATCTGAGTTAAATTATTATTATTATTAAAATAATTATCATCGGAAAAAAAGCAGATCTATAGTAACGCTGTACAAATATTGCGTGGTGTGTTGTGTGTTGTTTGCAGTGTGGCTCACTAGAAAAACTGATTTACCCCAACTAAAAAATTGATAGTTTGATGTTGACATGCTATATAACTGAACCAAATAAAATTGAAATTATTACATTTGATGAAACAATAAATAAAATAAAATTTTCAATTAAACTCTTCAAATGTAATTTTGTAACAAAAATTAAACCGTCAAGCAGAGTTATAAAATTAATATGAAATGAGCTTTTTTTCCAAATTATTAATCACATTATTAGAATGTTCAGTTTTGAGTATTCTTTCTTATGCTGCTGCTGAATCAGGTCGAAATGTGCTTGAGCCGATGTTCTCCAAAGTCGAGACTCCGTTGAAACGGTCCAACCAAGTCAAAGCCGTAATTGACTTCTTCGTGGTCACCGATCATACGATATACAGAAAGTGAGGTTTTTGAAGATTCAGTTTATGTAAATCATCTAAATGTCTGACCTAGTGTAAATTTAAAGGCATTGTTTTTCGTTTGAATTTATTAAAAATTATTCATGACCCTCTAACAAGCAGGCGACATGTAATTTTGTATTGCGCTGCAAAATTCGTTCTTGTATGTTTGTTAGATTTTGATTGTTATAAAAATATTGATATAAATATTAGATTTTTATTAAAAAAAATTTTACTAATCATGAAACAGATTAAAATAAGTAAATTTCTTTTCAATAATATTCAAAAACTTCAGCTGGATGAACTTTCATAGGAACGACGAGGCCAAAGCTATTGAAAGCATCAAGCACTTCTACGCACACGTAGTCAATGAAGTTCGTCAAGTTTTTTTTAAATAATTTCAACTGAAGACAAATTTTATAAGTTAAACTTACAAAAAATGTAGTGTATTTAAGATAGGACAACCTCCAACTAATTAGAACAAGCTTATTTGAAGATTAAATCACAAAATAACCCTTATTGAACTTAATACAACGAATTTAAATGGGGGAATGTGAAAATTTAGCAAACTAATTAACTAATAATTAGTGAATAAATTAATTAGTCAATAACAAGTAAAAAATTTATTTATTTACAGATGAACAATCGCTACATGAAAGCTCATATTCCTGGATTTTCCGTTCGAGTTGTCTTAACTGGCATGTACATATCAAAGATTGTTTTTTTTAATCTTTAAAAAAAAACTTGAATCTGTCAGACGTAGAATCCGCTAAACATGCAAGACAGTATTACAAAATGAATGCAATGTATACAGGACAAAAAAAATTTACGTAGAGGAAATTATATATTGATACTCGCTCTCACCTCATCACCGACCTAATCATCCTAATCAATTTCATGACCACCACCGTTATTTTTACAGTATTTTTTTTTTGGATTAAAATCTGATCTTTGCATCGTCATAACATCTCTAGGAGAAGAGCGATTTGGAGTTTATTGAATCTCCGAATTTCAAGATCAACTAAAACACTGTTGATGGCTTCGCAGTTTACTATGATATGGTGAGGTGGTTCGACAACGACAACATGACTCGGGCCAGGAACTTTCCGAAGTTTGACGCCGCTGGTGTTTTTACTAGGTAAATATATTTTGTCGTTGTTGTCAATGATGGTGACGATAACGTTATGATAATGATGATGTGAACGTAGTTTTGATAATCATGAAGACTGTGATGATGATGATAATGATGGTGATGATGATAGTAATGATGATGATGATTATGATGATATTACAATGATGATGATGATGATAATAATGATGATGATGATGATATTACGCTGATGATGATGATGGCAATTCTGATGGTTAAATTCAAGCTGGAAACCATAAAACCACCAGCCACGAGTTAATGAATAACAGCCTAGTCGTCAATTTATATTAGCGTACCGATTAGCAAACTTGGCTAAAGACCAAATAGCAAAAACCCGCAATTTTGGAAAAAAAATTTAAAACGAAAAACAAGCCATTGAAAAATAGCCAATTCCTGGCCATCTAATAATTTTTTTTTCAAAATAACAGTGAATATCTTTTTAAAATTCAGATGTTTCTACAGATAGGCTGATCATAATAATTTCGCACCTTCACCAACATCATCATTGTCGTTAGGGCATCTACATCACATTACCTCCACCCTCAAATCATAAACTACTTTTCCCACCCCGTATTATTTTAGATACAACCTCAACAATGTACTCGGGTTGGCATTTAGGTCCTCTGTATGTAGTAAGAATGCAGCATTTATAGCTCAGGAACATGGCGCTTTCCGAACAGCCGATCTGGCTGCCCATGAATTAGGACACGTGTGAGGGGATGTTTGCATGTTGATGCTTGATCGCCATTGTCTGTACGTTTGTATGTGTGGCCGTATTTGTTTGTCGTAGAAGTTTGTTTAAGTTTGTCTTTTGCAAGAAAAACTTGAAATGTAACTTTTATTTAGTATATCAGCCGGTGGATGTGGCAAGTTAAGCGAATTAACTCGCGCTTAATTTGTAAACTTGGTTCTGATACATTTTTATTATTTTCTAATTGTTTTTGTTCATCTGATAAAAGTGAAAAAACTCTTGAATGATTTTTTTTTATGCAGGTTAGGTGCTGTGAACGATGGTGAAATAAATACATGTCCTAACAACGGGTTCATCATGGGCTCGTTGAGGAATATGATGGATGAGAAGGTTTTGGAATCGTATTCTTTTCTAATTTTCAATGCGATTCAGTATATTTCTTTATGAAATTATGATTTTCAAACATTTGTAATCTATGAAGTTGGGAATAGTATCTATTTAAAATAAAACTTACTGTTTCTAAATTTCAAAAATTGCAATTTTGAGTTTATTTGTAAAATGCCATTCATTTTATATAAAAAAACTGAAAAGCAAAAGATAAATTATAATCTAAATAATTTCCATTGCAACAAGCAGATAGCCGAAAGGTTTCGTTCATTTTCACCGTGCTCCCAGTCTGAAATTAGTTATCATCTCGGCATAGTGAACAGGTCTATTTATATTTTACTTAACATGTTCACACTTCATTCAGAGTGGATGTCAGTTCGGAGGTTTCAAACCATAAGAAATATTTAAATCGGAAAGATGATTTACGTTTGCTGAACATTGGATGTAAAAAAGAGTGAAATATTTGTTAATTAGCCAGGAGCGTGCGGTTTGCTAATTATTTGTAAACAATAAATTTTCAAAAACTGCTTTTCAACCCCATAGAACACCTTTTTTAGATTTTTTCAAGTAAAACCTTTGTTTGAACATGAGAAAATAAATGAAAAACGAAAATGTTCTCAGCACCATTTTTTAGCTGCGCTGTTGTACTAAGCATTCATACAAATAAAATCAACTAAATTATTTTGTCTATTTTTTACCTGTAAGTTATCCCAACAACTGCTTGCTGACAACTTACGACACCATCTGGCAGAAGGAGATGACGGAACGGCTGAAAGAACTCATAGGCTCGTTTCGTTAACAACATTTTAATTGTGATGGAAAAGTTTGGGCGCTTATAAAAGTTATAACATAAAAACTGCTCAAAAAATTTAAAACTTGGGGAAAATGAGCAAATAAAATAATGGCTTGGCACGAAATTTGTAAAAAAATAATTTACAATAATTTCAGGACAAAAACACAAGCCAGAGGAGCAATGCAAACATCTGTTCGGCGTCGATTCAACCATATGCCGGGTATTAATATATCGTACGATTCACTCTATCAACAAACTCATTACAAACCTTTTTCTCAAAATTTAATTTTTTCAATATTTATAAATAAACAAATAACTTATAAATTTAGGGTAGCGAAGAGAAACTTTGTGAAAGAATGCCCTGTTATCTTACCAAGTTGAAGGCATGTGTTTTCACAGATGTGCTGCAGAGAGCAGCTGATGGCACGCCATGTTCCAGCGGCAAGTCGTGTCGCGAGGGAAAGTGTGTCAGTGATTCTAAGGTGCCTAAAAGTGAAGGTTGGAAATATAATTTTTCGTTCGTTTGAGGTTTTTCAATGTATGGATGTATTCCTGTTTACTTTTTCCACTCTTGTCTTTTTCCATTTTGAAATTTTAATCGTTGACTTTTATTCTACTTTTATTTTTCTCAAGATGTTTTATAGAAAATTTTATAATTTCCCTTTCATCACTTAATAACATTTATTTTAAATTATATACACGTATTTATTACAAAATCCTTGGACCAATTTTTCAAAGGTACGTGCATGTACGGAGAGTGGAAAGGTGATTTCAGTGAACTAGGAGACCCTGACGGTCCCAAATCTTGTCAAGATGTGATGGATCGCTTCCCGTGGAAATGTTATGAGGAACCTTACAAAAGCGACTGCTGCAAAACATGTCCGATGATCAAACAGAAAATCGGGACTGAAAGTTGGTTGTAATTGTAATTGAATAAAAATTTAAAATTTTTTTATGAAGTTGTATTTTTAAACCGCTAATGCAAACTGATAGATAATATTTTAAAGAAGTTGACAACTTTCTTTGTCTCAACAAATATTTATTCAACTATTTCTCACGTGAAAGCAGCATTCTACGTTGACATTTTCATCTTTTGACTCGTTCCATCTTTTTGTTTCTAGATGGAAAGATGGGCCCCTTTAATTTTTTTTCTAAAATTTTCCATTCTGTTTTGATCTTTATAAATGCAACCCTCACGTATCATCTCAGCCAGCTGCTGTGGACCATTTGCAGTGACCCTGACAAATCATTCTCGTCATCAAAATTCGCCTCTTTGAATCCCAACCTGGTCATTACAATAGCAGTGCCAGACAACAAAACTCTTACACCAACGTGTCCCCAGATCCTTTAAATCTTAAAGTTTAAATTTTAAAAAATAATTGATCAAACTATCTATTTTCTCAGCTAACATTTTGTTCATAATATCATAAAATGTTGATTAATTACATTTACAAATAATTATTCAACAACAACAATAATAACAACAACAACAATCATAATAATAATTATTATTATTACAGTTATAATTATTGTAAATATTATTATTATTTATAATCTCATACAGAATGCCCGTACGGCGATAAGTTCTCGAAGGAAAGCTGCCCCAGGTACACTTGTAGCGATCCTAAGTGGCGGGATAACTGCTGTCAAACTTGCTCAAACTTTGGTTATTTCAAAATCTGCTCAAACTGGTTATTTCAAAATCTGTGACTACTTCTGTTACTGCTACTTCTACTTCCATTATTAATACTACTACTGCTACTAATAATACTACGACATTCCTTACTATTACTACTGCTACTACTACTACTACTGCTACTACTACTTCTACTACTACAAGCTACTATTGCTGCTACTGCCAAAACTACTAGCTACTACTTGTGCTTTTACAACCACTATTACTGCTTCTGCTACTTTTACTACCACTAATACTACTACTAAAAATAATAATAATAATAATTCTACTACTAATTCTACTACTATTACTACTACTACTAATACATTATATATGTATAATGTATTTTTTTCAAATACAATAAAAGTATTTTTTTCAAACACAATGCAAATTTTGTTATAAATGTGGAAGAAGGGGAAAGAAAATGTCGTAAATAATTTTCAAAACCTGCATCACTCCAAAAATTTTATAACTACACCATCTGAAATATCCATTCCTTATATTACTTACTCGTCAGCTCTTAAAATTCATTAACTTTGTATAGAATTGAAACGTTTAATTTTGCATGGAATTTTAATTATTCTCTAACTCCAGTCACCTCCAAGGACTGTCCCAGCGGTGATCAGCCGGCATGTGCGAGTCTGAAGAAGTACCAATGCTATGACGAGGAGCAACGCTGTTGTATAACTTGCCCGAAATTAAAAAATTCATCAAAAGTCGGTCAGTAATTAAGTAGTAAATTTGAATAAAGAAAAAAATTTTGATCTTCCAGATAAATACAAAATTCAATTGCGAATTTTTTCACTATTTTAAAATTAAATTTGTTTTATTTCTAAGGTTGCGAATATGGCGATAAAGCTAGATGGTGTGCGGATCGCGTTGGTGCCAAGTTAGAACACTGTCCACACTTTTACCAGAAATGCTGTGAAAGTTGTCAGGATTACATCAGGAAAAATAAACTTAAAATCTAATTTAAGTATTTAAAAAAATTTAAATTAATTATTGACAAATAAAAAAAATGGGTCTGGGTATTCGATCTGAAAATGTTATCACTCAAATATCAATCAACCAACTTTTTAAAAATTCACATTGAGTGATCATAAGAATAACGCTTTTATAACTATGCTATATTAGAAAAAATACAATTGGTGATCGCAAAAGCTATTACCAGAAACAAAAAACAACATTTGGTTGAATTAAAATCTTCGTTTTGGTTTTTCAAACAGAACTTTTGTCAAACCAGCGTCACAGTGTTTCTCGTAAAGTATATGGCAAAACTACAAATAAAAACATACATCACAATGATTGAGGAAATGTCAAAATTTGTATCTGACCTCGACAAACATTTGCTTATTTCATCATATATGATAAAATACAAACAAAAAAATCTTTAAAAACATTTCCTCCTCGTCAATAAGTTTATATTTAAGAAACTTTCTAAATAAATGCGGTATACATATAAAATGGTATATTGCATTGAAAAATAGTAAGTAAATGTAATGTTTAGCTTCAACGGCCTAGCTCTATATGAAAATATCACAAATTGGGTTTTTGTCTACAGATCAATTTCGCATAGGACGCACCTCTTAGAACTGCAGCCACAATCGTCCCAACCATCAACATGAACCATGATAACCTGCATGCAACTTGTCGACCCCAGGGCACCGTCTGGTTGTTTAGTATTCCACGACGAGTAATTAAATTTTGTGAGAACTCCTGTTTTTTATGAGAAAAAATCTCGTTCTATGTTTTGAAATGTTGAAGCGGAAAATATAATAAAAACTACCATGCCATTTATTGTTTGACAATTTCGGCCATGCAAATGACACAAATATTTAAACAGCGTTTGAACAAAGTCACTGCGCAATGAAAACGTAACGCACAACGTCGCTATCCTCAAAAATGTTTTTTTTTATTTGCAATAAACTTTGAACTTTTCAAAAACTCACCTGGAAACTTTTCCCAATAAAATGGTGCGGCTTTCGAAGATTTGTTGTACTGTATGCCCGATGACCAGATCATAAGCCCACTGAAGTTAGAAAATTGGCAGGATGTTAGGCCTGGGGAAGAATTTTTACAAACATATAACAGTACTGTTAATTAAATTACTAGATTCGTAATTGAGTACTTGAATGAAATATAAAATTTTTTAAATATTAGCCTTAATGAATGTAAGAAACAAAAGCACAAAAGAGAATGGAGCAAGGCCATATTGGTAGACTGTAAATTAGCAACTGATTTCAAATTATTAACTTACCAACCTTCAGTAACAGAGAGAGCGTAAAGCTTGGAAGAAACATTTTCCATAGAATCCTCAACAGCCAACGAGTGCGAATGCAAATTGTTGCAAGCACTTCTAGCGTTCATCCACGACTGTAACTTTGTGATCATCAGGTAGCATTTCTGGTTCTCAACCACGAAATCAAATGGCTTCGGACAATCTATGTTGCAATTTTTTAATTAAAATTTTTATTGAAGCATCTGAAAGATTAAATTTATCTGATTGGAATTTTAAAAATGATAGGCAACGAAAAACAAAAAAAAAGTAAAAATGTTGATGGAGTTAAAGTTGTATTTGTTGCTGAAATTTGATTTTTTTTTATTAAATTTGTTTTGAATATACCAATATGAGTCTGTTTAATTTATTTTATAACTTTTCTTTACTATTTTTACAGAATTTGTTTTTAATTTTAAAACATTCACTTTTTTGGTAAAAAAAGTTTTAAAATTATTTTGAATAATGTTTAAACAAACTTAACAAGCTAAATAAAAGTGTAAAAAATGGAAAAAACCGTGCGTCACATAAGCCACACATCCTCCACTCAAATTGGTCGTCACATTGAACCAGATGTCTTTCAGTTTTGGAACACAGGAGCAAGATTTCTCCGATGTCTTGTAGTTGACACCCAGCAAGTTTTGGTTGTTAGCAATCTGATAAAACATGTCAAAAGAAGTCGTTGATTTGTCTAAATTTTCCAGTTAATGTTTTATTCGTCTAATTTTAATTGTGCACATGCGAGTATGTTCTTTGCCCATAACACATAGCCTCGTGTTTAGATGTTTAAATTTTTGAATATGATTTTAATAAAAGAATACGGTCTACTTTATCAAATGCAATAAAATAATACGGTGAAACTGACATACCAAACATTTGCTGATGCACCCTGACAATGAAGGAGCCACAATTTTTGCCACCATCGCCATCCTCTCGTCAAAACACACTGCACTCTTCTTTCCACTAACAGGTAGGTAGCTGTATGCTCTGCTGAATAATCTTCCATCACTCTGACAACAGAGTAACTCAAATTGGGCAAACATTAAAATAATCCAAATCATAATCAGATCTCAGATGTACTTTGCTCACTTTGAATTCTGAGCAAAACCTGTCAAAAGATGGCTGGTTGGTAGGTATGTTGTAGCCAACAGGCATCGAATAAAATATTTCACCGTAAAAAAGCGTTTCAGTTATTTCATCGCCAACAATATTGTTGCCACAATAGTCATTTTCATATTTTTTCCAAACGCAGATATGAATGGTCTGTTCTTTACAATAATTAATGAAGGAAAATAACGCAATAATGCAAAAATCGACATCGTGAACAGAACATAATACAGACGCACACACGCACACATACACAGAAACAAGCATACACACAAACACACACACATTGGGTTCACGTGCATTTACTTGCTCTCATAAACACGTTTGTTTTTATATCGTTTGTAATGCAGTTGAAAAATTTTTCGACAGGTGATATATAACATTTTAGTAGCATTTCAGCAGATATATTTGTAAACCAACACAAAAAGATTGCAAAAAATTGTTTTTACCATTTTAATATTTCATGCCTTTCTAAATGAAAACTGTACAGTTTTTTGCCATGTATCGATAGAAACAATGTGTTGATTAGCGCTTTCAGGAATATGTACGTTATTCACATAGAATGTTCACGGTGGATTGTTTATTAACTTCCTAAAATTGCAGCAACATTTTTTGCGGTTGTGTGTGTTTGTGCACTCAGAACGACGCGTGGAATGTTGGGAACGGTGGAATGGAAACGTAGTTGGTCACATTCTAGTTTTGCTGTAGTTCCTGAAATTCATTTTGATTATACAATATATTGCTACCGGAAAATTCCTTCGAAATAAATAAAAAACTAGTTAAAATAAAACAACGCAGAGTCAGAAAAGATTTGGACGCGAAGCATAGATCATTGACGAATTAGTTTTGTTCAATGTTTCAACTTTGTTTATGCATATTGTTGAGTTATTTACATTGAAATTATAAATAAAAAATTTATTTATAACAAATTATTTGAAAATTGATCAAAAATAATTCTCCCACTAACCGATTAGATTAGTTGTTAATTTTCAGAAAATCATTAACTTTTACGATGACGTAATTTACAGGTACCTCATTTGTAACCAATCAATAAAACGCAATTTTTTATTAACCGTACATTTCATGGATATAATTGTGCAAAAAACAGAGTCGTCCAACTAATCAGGCTCGCTTAAAATCTGTTCATAGGAGGCTCTTTGCAAATTCGAGATCCAAAAAAAATTTGATAAATGCGTTACATTCTGTGTAAGGCATTTATCGACATGACAGGCAACAACACGCTTAAAAATCTTTATAATTTGTCGTATTGAATATTTGCCATTCAATGCAACTGACATGTATGAACAGATTAATGTAACATCATACAATAAATAATTTAAAAAAGGCATTTTGTAATCTTCGTGACTAAAAGAACTTTTCCAACTATCGTTGAAGCAAGAACATCAATTTTTTTTTCCTTCGAAATGGACTCAAAGCTTCAAATAAAACAGTTAAGTTGCGCAGCCGATTGGCCCATTTGGAAACGTCGTGTTCGAGATTTCATGGACTACCATGAGGGCGCACTTGATGTGATTGATGGGAAGTTGTCGAAACCAGAATTACTAGAAAATCAAACTGAGCAACAGACAAAAGATTTTAAAAATAAATCAGATCTGTTTAGAAAGGCAAACAGTTATGCCAAATCAGTAATTGCGAATGCAGTCACTGAAGATACATAGCAAAAGATAATGGACAAGAACACAGCGTTTGAAGTTTGGGAGGAATTAAAAAGAAATTTTGAAGCGTCAACTAAGGACCAACTGTTCCAAGTTTGTAGCAATTTTTTCGATTTCAATTGGATAGCGGATGTATCCAGCCAAATTGCAAGATTGAAGACTTTATGGAACGAATTAAACAGTGGGCTTTAGGCATCGGGAGAAAATAAACTACCATAGCTGCTATTAGTATGCAAAGCGATGCTGATTCTCCCAAATAGTTTCCAAAACTTCAAATCAAGTTGGCTAATGCTAGGTGAAAAAAAGCAGTCGATAGATGATTTAATCACTCATCTCTGTGCTTTCGAAAGAGAGATAAAGACTTTCGACACAATCGATAAATCATCAAGGCAGAACGCCTTAGTTGTAAATGTTGACAAGCCAAGTTTTTACAAATCAAGAGATTTCACTAGAAGGACAAAACCAGTTGGTAACTGCAACTATCGCCATAAACCTGGACACTGGGTTAAGCAATGTAGAAAGTGGGTCAGTGATGGAAGACCTTCTAAAAATTCAAAAAATGTTTCAGCGACATCAAAAAAAGCATATGATGAAACATCAAATGTTTTGTGCACGTCAGCCAGTTATCAAACACTGAGAGACAACATTACGTGGTATATTGACAATGGAGCAACAAAGCACCTAACGAACAATCCAGATAATTTTGTTACTTTTGAGAAGTTTGTCGCACCATGTTCTGTTCAAGCTGCAGGAAAAGAAGTTCTTGCTGCTGTGGGTGGAGGCGAAAAAAATATGCTGTCAACAGTAAATAACAAACAACATAAAACTCTCAGAAGTCTGGTATGTTTCAAATATAGGTAGAAACCTGTTTTCCATATTAGCCGCACAAGATAAAAATTCAAAAAACAGCAAGTTTGAATCTTATGCAACCAAATGTCAACTCAGTATAAAGAACCGAGTGGTAGTACAAGGGACAAGACGAGTAGATGGTTCCTTGTATGAGGCAAACTTGATTTCATTAACTCCAGATACACCGGCTGAAGTGAATATAGTCAATGAAAATTCAATAGTGCAGCTCTACCATGAACGTTTTGGTCATCAAGATACTACGTAAATTTCACGGTCAATGTTGAGTTGGCATGACATTTCCAAGTTATTTATAGATGACATTTTTAACTAAATAGCTACAATTACAAATATAATAAAGAGAATTTAATAATTAAAGTATGCAACCAAAAATGTTTTTATAACTATGCCATATTAAAAGAAATAAAATTCACAAAAGCTATTACCAGAAACAAAAAACAACATTTGGTTGAATTAAAATATTCGCTTTGGTTTTTCAACCAGAACTTCTGTCAAACCAGCGTCACAGTGTTTCTCGTAAAGTATATGGCAACGCTACAAATAAAAACATACATCACATTGATTGAGGAAATGTCAAAATTTGTATCTGACCTCAACAAACATATTTGCTTATTTCATCATATATGATAAAATACAAACAAAAAAATCTTTAAAAACATTTTCTCGTCAATAAGTTTATATTCAAGAAACTTTCTAAATAAATGCGGTATACATATAAAATGGTATATTGCATTGAAAAATAATAAGTAAATGTAATGTTTAGCTTCAACGGCCTAGCTCTATATGAAAATATCACAAATTGTGGTTTTGTCTACAGATCAATTTCGCATAGGACGCACCTCAAAGAATTGCAGCCACAATCATCCCAACCATCAACATAAACCATGATATCCTGCACGCAACTTGTCGACCCCAGGGCACCGTCCGGCTGATTAGTATCCCACGACGTGTAATTAAATTTTGTGAGAACTCCTGTTTTTTATGAGAAAAAATCTTTTTTATATTTGGAAATGTTGAAGCGGAAAATATAATGAAAACAACCCTGTCATTCATTGTTTGACAATTTTGGCCATGCAAATGACACAAATATTTAAACAGCGTTTGAACAAAGTCACTGCGCAATGAAAAAGTAACGCACAACGTCGCTATCCTCAAAAATGTTTTTTTTTTATTTGCAATAAACTTTAAACTTTTCAAAAACTCACCTGGAAACTTTTCCCAATAAAATGGTGCCCCTTTCGAAGATTTTTTGTATTGTATGCCCGATGACCAGATCTTAAACCCACTGAATTTAGGAATTTGGCAGGATGTTAGGCCTGAGAAAGAATTGTTGTATAGTTAATTAAATAACTAGATTCGTAATTGAGTACTGAAATGAAATATAAAATTTGTTAAATATTAGTCTTAATGATTGTAAAAAACAAAAGCACCATAGAGAATGGAGCAAGGCCATATTGGTAAACTGTAAGTGAGCAACAGATTTCAAATTATTAACTTACCAACCTTCAGTAACAGAGAGAGCATAAAGCTTGGAAGAAACTTTTTCCAAGGAATCCTCAACAGCCAACGAGTGCGAATGCAAATTGTTGCAAGCACTTCTAGCATCGCTCCACGTCAGTAACTTTGTGATCATCAGGTAGCATTTCTGGTTCTCAACCACGAAATCAAATGGCTTCGGACAATCTGTGTTGCAATTTTTTAATTAAAATTTTTATTGAAGCAACTGAAAGATTAAGTTTATCTGATTGGAATTTTAAAAATGATAGGCAACGAAAAACAACAAAAAAGTAAAAATGTTGATGGAGTTAAAGTTGTATTTATTGCCGAAAATTGATTTTTTTTTATTTGTTTTGAATATGCCAATATGAGTCTGTTTAATTTATTTTATAACATTTTTTTAATATTTTTACAGAATTTGTTTTAAATTTTAAAACACTCACTTTTTTGTTAAAAAAAGTTTTAAAATTATTTTGAATAATGTTTAAACAAACTTAACAAGCTAAAAAAAGTTTAAAAAAAATGGAAAAAACCGTGCGTCACATAAGCCACACATCCTCCACTCAAATTGGTCGTCACATTGAACCAGATGTCTTTCAGTTTTGGAACACAGGAGCAAAATTTCTCCGATGTCTTGTAGTTGACACCCAGCAAGTTTTGGTTGTTAGCAATCTGATATAAAATGTCAAAGAAGTCGATGATATGTTTAATTTTTGCGGTTAATTAATGTTTTATTCGATTCGTCTAATTTTAATTGTGCATATACGAGTATCTTCTTTGTTCATAAACACTGCTGCGTGTTAAGGTGTTTGAATTTAATTGTAAATTTTATTTTAATAAAAGAATACGGTCTACTTTATCAAATGCAATAAAATAATACGGTGAAACTGACAAACCGAACATTTGCTGATGCACTCTGACAATGAAGGAGCCACAATTTTTGCCACCATCTCCATCCGCTCGTCAAAACACACTGCACTCTTCTTTCCCTTAGCAGGTAGGTAGCTGTATGCTCTGCTGAATAATCTTCCATCATTCTGACAGAAGAGAAACTCAAATTGGGCAAACATTAAAATAATCCAAATCATAATCAGATCTCAGATGTACTTTGCTCACTTTGAATTCTGAGCAAAACCTGTCAAATAATGGCAGGTCGGTAGGTATGTTGTAGTCAACAGGCACCGAACAAAATATTTCAAAAAACGTTGCACTTCTTTAATGGTCATAATATTGTTGCAACATTAATCATTTTCATTTTTTTTCAAACGCGGAAATCAATTGTCCTGTAATTAATGAACGAAAACAATGCAAAATGAATAAACTGACATCCTGAACAGAACATGTTTAAACGCACGCACACACATACACACACCCAAACACACGCATTCAATTCTCTAATAAACACGACAGAATTATACAAAGTATAAAAACGCCAAAAATAAGCTTTAATAAAATAAATTCATACAAAATTTTAGATTTAACGTAAAACAGAAGTTTCGTTGGAGCAACATTTCAGCTGAAATATTTGTAAACCAACACAAAAAATGTTTTCATCAGGAATCATATGTCTTTTTAAATAAAAAGTGCAAACTGCACATCTTTTGCCATGTACACAGAAACAATGTGTTGATTTACGCTTTCAGAAATATGTACGTTACTCACAAAGAATGTTCATGATGGATGATTTTTTAACTTTAAAAATTGCAGCAACATTTTTTACGGTTGTGTGTGTTTGTGCACTCAGAACGACGCGTGGAATGTTGGGAACGGTGGAATGGAAACGTAGTTAGTCACATTCTAGTTTTGCTGTGGTTCCTGAAATTCATTTTGATTAAACAATATATTGTTATCTTAAAAACCGTCTAAAAATGTAATCTTCACATACTATTTTTTCATTTATCGGAGTTTTGTGCTTGCGTTGAGAATTATTCTATACAACCCTTCATTCCGTTGAAATTAAAAATTTAGTACAGTGGCAATACTCGAATAGCTCCATTTAGTTTTACGGTTAACGGCAATACTCGAATAGCTCTATTTAGTTTTACGGTTAACCCAATCAGACAAAAATTGAATGGAATTATTATTAATAAAGGTATTTTTTTCTTCAATTCAAACTTGTACTTATTTAGCAATGCAAGGAAAATATTGAATTTAAAAAGCGTCAAGAAATGCAATAATTAGTTAGTTGCTTGTTAGCATGATAGTTCATAAGTCTTTGCGAATCCGAAATCGAACAAAACAATTCTCGCCACTACCCGCTTGCAAATCTCTACCCTATGTCGTAATGAATATGTGCCATGCAATGCAACAGACATGTATGTGTATGAACAGGTTAGTGAACGATCAAAGTGGTTGTTGTATAGACTCTTTTTATATTTCATGAGCAGTATCACGCTATTACATTGTATTGCATTAATGAAATACAATTGGTCGGTTTGTAAGGAAAATGTTGTCTGTTTCGAAACTATATTTATTTAGAGTTTTATTATTTCTTTTTGAGGTTATTACATTGAAAAAATATATCATATTTCACAATTATTTGATTGATTCATCGTCATACAGTCATAAAAAAACTTGTTACACACCAATTTTTGATATTGTCAGGTCACGCACTACTTTATTTTCCTCCACGATTTTTGTTTTCGGTTTAAAACTATGGTTTCTTTTGCCTACTAGCCTTTTACGTGTGAACAGTTTAGCGGTATTTAAATCATCAGTTCTGAATCTAATTAATAATAATTATTTTCCTGCTGACATTCGATGATTGTATGATAGTTTCATTTGTATTAATCATTTTAGATTTTAATCCATGTATGTGCAATTTGTGTTTTTTTTATTTTTTTTTGTCTTGTTTGCTTTTTTCTATTCTGATTAGGGTGACCATACAAGCTCTTTGAGCTTCTGCGTCTCCCAGCATTTTCTGAATAAAGACTTATTAATAAATATAAATAAATAATTATAAAAATAAAAAACATAATTGTTATTATTGTTTTAATAAGAAAAAAAATAAAAGTTGTCAAGATCCGACACTGCTGACGTGTTTGTGTTTTTAATTGTTATGGTATGATTTTCTCCCAAAGAGTCTCATTGAAACCTTTTGTTTAAAAAAAATTGTATTGCCACCTCATAGCTCGATAACTTTGATCAGCAGCACACATATTGATGGCATGTCTCTCTCATCTGTTTGACTGAGTCCAACGAAAAATTGTGTATTACAACCTATTTGACTGTTAAAAAATAACAACGACAAATGACTTTTTGAAATATGATGCTGATTTTATAGAAAGACGTTTAGTCCTTCTAAAATATCTACAACAAACTGTGGGAGTGAAAATTATGATGACAAAATGTTACAGTCTACCAGAAATATTCATCAGTTTTAAATAGTTAAATTTAATTATTTCTAATTGAGTTTCACGTATATGAAGTTATTTTTTTGCTTTAAAAATGAGTTTCACGTATATGAAGTTATTTTTTTAGCTTTAAAAATAGCAACTACAAAAGAGCACAAAACATTCAATTAACATTAGTCTATAAAATTAGTTATTAAAATGGCCACCAAAATTATAAAAATCAGTAAGGTTTATTCAAATGTTGATAAGCATGCGAATTGTTATCTCTACCGCACGTAACAAAGATAGTATTTTCAAATCTCTATTTCTTAATGAATCTGTTATCTTAATGTTTTTACGTGTTCAATGTTCAGAATTTTTTTTTCTCGCCTAATAAAAAAAACTGTAACATTTTGTGAGAAATCTTATGTGCTTGATAGCGTTTAACCTTTTGAGATCAAAAACTCGTAAATAACGTTCTTAAAATTTCTAACAAGCCTGCATTTGATTTTTTAATGGTGTGGCAAGAAATTGATTGTGGGGGGCTTCATTTTTGTGAAAAAAAAGGTGGCAACACTTTTTTTTAGTTATCACACATATTTTTCGAACTTATCTATTAAAACTAATCACTTTGTATAACAATAAAGAAAATTTTAGAGTTGTTATGTAGATATAGCTAAATTTTCTGTTCTTGACGGTTTAAACTCCAAAGCCCCCCGCGACTAAGCTTCTTAACATCGTAATATCTTTAAATCTATTTACTTCCAATCATTATATTGGGCATCTGCTAAAATAATAATTCGTCTGAAAATGGAACAAAACCGCTAGAGGCCCAAACTGAACACCATTAAGCCTGTCGAATTGATACAATCACATCTTCATCAGATGGAAACATTACCGTTAAGCCTGTCGAATTGAAACAATCACATCTTCATCAGATGGAAACATTATTCGTTCCAATTATTAACGTCAATGATTTGACATTTTTAATTTATTTCTGCTAGACTCCTTCTCAGATTAATTTGGAAGTTTTCCGAATAATATCTACTTCTTTCACCAGGTTAAGGTAAGACAAAGCCTACCTAATTAAAACACCACAAACTGATGTGATGAACTTTTTTTAGATACCGACGGAACAAGACTGACGAAAATCGTTTAAGATAATGTCGTTTATTTTGTGGCCATATGTGAATGGCGAAAATATAAAAAAAAAATTTCCGGTCGTGATTAAAATTTGTAACTAATTCTGCTGCGGTAATTAAATTAATAAATTAGTTAGTTAATCAATTAATTAATTGGTTAACTAGTTAGTTAGTTAATTAATTAATTGTAACATATTAACAAAATACATCAATTATAAAATAAATATATGATGAAATTGTAAAATTGTTCAGTGTTTGTAAAGCTGTTCAGTCAAGAATGCCAAATCCATTTTAAAAGCCCCGGTCCAGCAAAATCCAGGCTACGAAGCTGTCAAAAAGCCGACTTTAGAAGAATTTCGAAGAATTCAAACATATGTTGGATGATTGAATGATATGAATGGCTGGTGAAAAGAGACACATGTTACAAAAATTTTGTAAACTGCTGTTACAAACGGTAAAATGATTCTGCCCAATGAAATAAGTACACGTCTCTTTAACGATATACTAACTTTGTTGAACTAAATACACTTCACATAAAGCATGTATGAATTTTTGGAAACATATATTGTTTAATTTGGGTTCTATCTTTTATAAAAAATTAATATTCTTGACAATTGTTTCAAAAAAAATATTATTTTTCAGTGATAAAAAATTTTATGGATTTAAAAACGCATCCAGTTGAAACTGTCGTTAACTTTTAAAATTTAATTTAATTTTCTGTTTTCCAGTTCCAATCTTGAGTTTTATTTGAGACAATTTTAATGATTTCGGCTTCAAATTTTACTTTCAATTTATTTTAAATAATTTTAGTCATTTTGTTTCGTTGGAGTTTTGAAAAATCCAAAAAGTTTAGTTATGCCGATTTTTCCGAAATTAATTTTTTCTTGCTTCATCTTCTGCTATCTTCTTACTTCATTTTTCTCATCCTCTACAACCCAAGCCATTATTGAGGATTGCTACTGCCAGGTTTAATTAATTAATTAATTAGTTGAATTAATTAATGATTGGTTGATTGATTAGTTAATTTTATTTTAATTAAATTTAATTTAGTTAAATTTAATTTTTAATTAATTATTTACTGAATTTTATTCTTGAGAATAAAATAAGTCATCACGTGAGCATGATCAGAGATTTCATATCATATATGATGTAAGACAAGATTTGTAAATTAATAAATTAATTGGTAACTAAAAAGTTTAATTGAATAGAATGAAGTGAAAAATATTTTGCTGATTGTGATGAAAAAAATGAATAAATAAAACTAGAAGACATATTGATCATATATTGATCACAATTTATTCAATTACTTATTTTATTTTATTTTAATTAGTTAAGTTAGAATTTAGATCAGTTAAAATGCCTAAATTGTTAGACTTTGCTTATTTACATACTTCACTTCAACAATTCATTTTTATTTTCAACTTAAAAGCTAGAAGCCAGGCAAAATTTAC